TATGATCCGACGAAACCACTTCTCTCTGTCAACTCTGACAGTGGAGGATGTTTACTGTCCACACTGAACCTCTCATCAGAGCGTGTCAGCAAACATGTCATCAAGATTCTTTACATTCCATGTATGCATCTCTTCTATCAAAAAAGAAAAAAGACGAGAAAGAAAAGCATGTTGCCGAGGACCACAAAGGCACCACGGCAGAAAGGTCAGACATGTGACCTGTGTTAAAGCGTGGAGAGAACGTGTCAAAGGAAAGCTCAGGTTCTGCACGAGCCGTCAGTCAGAGAGGAAACAGGGCCGTTAAAGGGAAAGTAATGCCCTGCATGCTTAGGCTTATTAAATATGTAGCACAAAGGAAATGTGTTCTCTTTAAGTCCTAAACCAGACACCCCCCCCCACACACACACACACACACACACTCTAAATATTTGAAGATGGATGATGGTGCTCGCCTCCTTTCTGAGTCCAGACAGAAAGCTACAGGAGACAAAGAAGAAAGCACACACAGTTTATTTTAAACAAGAAAAAATGCAATTAAAATCACACGCCGCACGCTGACTAAACTGAACCAGTGTATTAAAATAAAAATGTCACTTATGGTGTCATGTTATGACTGGTTAATACAGGATTCAGTTTAAACGTTTTTGGTAGTGTACATAGACTCGAACTTCATTTTGTTATTTTTATTACATGCTTTTTTGGCGTAAGTGCTGATTCAGCATAATCTATTTTTTTATTTTACGTAAAAAAAATGTTTTCACCATTTATACTACAAAGGGTTCAAAAATAGGTGCTAAGACTTGTGATTATTGTAATTTGTATATTTTTTTAAAAGTATTTAACCTAATTCACAAATCCAACAAAGTTCAGTTTCTTTTCTTTTTTTTGTTGAAATGTTTCGTTCTTCATCCAAAGGACTTCATCAGTCCGAGGAGCCACAACAAACTCAGTCCCACAACACACTCACATAGTGGGCCAAGTTTGCTGGTGATGGTTTCTGGAGTCTGCCCTCTCCCTTGTCGACTCCTCTGAGGCAGCCATAGCCTAGTTTGTTGTGGCTCCTCGGACTGATGAAGTCCTTTGGATGAAGGACGAAACATTAAAAAAAAGTACTGAGGATCTGATTTTTTTTACCTGGATTATTGAGCATGAACTTTGGTGTAATTCACAAATATTTTCTCCATACAAACACATTAAACATTATCCAATTCCACAATATTATTCTCCCTGATATCTGTTTTTGTCTTATTATGCTTCTTTTAGGTTTTAGCTATCCCTGCTACTTCAAACTAGCATTTTGCTACCAATAGGGTTTTTTTTAGCTAGCATGCTGCTATTTCTGGATTTTAGTTCATGTTTTACTCTTTCTAGTTTTAGCTAGTATTCCGCTACTTGTAGCTTTTAGCTAGCCTTTTGCTACATTTAGCTTTTAGCACTTGTTTTGCTACTTTTAGCTAGGTTTCGTTACCTTTAGCTTTAACGCATGTTTTCCTACTTTTATGTTTTAGCTATTGTTTTGCTATTTTTAGCTAGTGTTTATAATCTTCTTGAATTTCAGCCAGTGTTTTGAGCTTTTTTTTAACTTTGGGCAAGTGTTCTGCTTCTTTTAGCCTTAACATCTCAGTGCCAGCTTCTTGAGAAAAGCACTCAGCGTTCGGTCGCTGTCTTTTCAGATAAAATTACTTTTTTTTGTTATGAGTCGATATAATGTGTTTCAAGGTGGCACGGTTGGTAAGGTAATGTTGCCTCCCAGTAATAAGGTTGTCAGCTCAAATCCCAGCCGGGGCATTACTAGGTGAAGTTTGCATGTTTCTGTTCGTGCATGCATGCACAGACCAGAAACATGCATGTTAGGCTGATTGGTAACTCTAAATTGTCCCTAGGTGTGAGTGAGGGAGTGACCGGTTGTTTCTCTGTGTCCCAGTGATAAGACTAGAGACCTGTCCAGGGTGCCCCCACCTCTCACAGTGGTAGACATGGGCACCAGTGACCCCCACGACCCAGAAAAGATGCGGGTACAGATAATGGATGGATGGCTAATGTGTTTCGACCTACAGAAACATGTTCTTTATTATTGAACCTTGAAGTGACATTCAAAACAAATCACTGAACAATAATGTGTGAATATGGATTTAACTGCAATAATTTTACATATCTTCGTCTTGATGATGCCAACTCCCACCACCCAGTGTGTTTAAAGCATCTCCGTGCTTCTAATTAAAATTAATGGGTCATTAATGGGCTTCTGTGGAACTTGATGAGATTCAGAGGAGGTAATTCATTCATTTGATTCAGGTGGGTTGGAGGAGGGAAACATCAGCGAGCCTCGAGGATCAGGGTTAGAGACTCTGGTTCTACCGTACAGAACAAAGGATCTGGGGAAGTTAAAGACAGAAATAAGCAACGATCCAAATCCTAGATATACCAAATATGTATGTTGATTTTGGTAAAATACCATTTTAACAATCATTTGCCAGTTAATCTTTAGCCGTACATCTGTAACCTAAGATTTGACTATCGAGGTCGCCAAGTTTCATTTCAGTTTCTAATTTTATGATTTGTTTGCCTTCGTTTCATATTGAAATTAAAGACAGTTTCATTCATTGTTAGTGCACAACCACGAAGGGGAAAAAGGGCGAGAACATCACTGGACAACTTTTGAAGGAAACTTACGAAGTAATCACCGCATGTGCAGCGGCAACTGATTCGCTTCCAAAATGGCCACAACTAAGACACATTAGCAAACACAAAAATGACCTTTAACGCTAATAAATTTACAAATATCAAGCAAACACCTGGTGTAGTAGTAGTAGAAGACCATCCTTTAAAAGCCTCTGAACGTTACTCGAGTGAAATCTTTAAACATTTGCATAAACTGTTGGTGTTAAATAAAAGCAGGAATATTCTGCAGGTGACTTCAATCTGGCCCACTTCATTAAAAAAAATGTTTTTTTTGTTCTGTTTATTGCATTTATGATTCAATGCAATATAATAAGCAAACTTAAAAGGTAACAGATCATTGTAAAACTTAGTTTAATTACATAATGACTTTATTTGCTGGATGTCTGACCCCGGAGCTGTTAGCTTTCAGTAACTGTGCCCCCTGAGCAGGTTAGTTGAACAGCCCTGCACTAACGGGATTGTGACCAGAACAGATAGAACTCTGTCTTTTTCAACATGTTGGTATAAAAGTCTGGTGTGAACCATGGCGGGTGAAATGCATTCCTTCAAGGGATGCGTGGCCATTTCTTTAAATGGAGAAGCCTCTTTTGAGCTCAAACATTTGATCTAAACATTTTATCGGCAGATGCAGTTTTCTTCTTCTTACTCCACATAAACTAAATATCCTGATGCATGCTCAACAAGCCAGGTAGATACATCTACCAAGGTTGAGTCAGGTCCTCTGGACATATTCTTCTTGCAACAAGAATCTGTCCCGTGTAGACGATACCATTTTTTTCAGGAGTCCTGCGTGTCACGGGATTCCCGCAGGACTCCAGCAGGATTCCAGAAGGATTCCAGCAGGACAGGAGTCATCTTTAATATAAGTCACAGGATTGGGATGGGACAGGACGAAAAGTTAACAGGACCAGACAGGAGCGAGAACCAACCAATAGGACGAAAATGAAAATATAAATACTTTGGACAGGCGCTGCTATATTTTGTAGTTATCTTTCAATAATACCAGACCTCCAGTGTGTAGATGATGCTCTGAAGTCTGGTAATATGCACGACATCCTGCTTCGCCGAAACGAGCTCATCACCTATTGAGAACTTCTTGAGGACGTCATCTAATGTATAATAATGCCTTTAAGCATTTTTATTTGTTGAGTTCTCTTGTTTGGTACATTTTTTTTCCCCTTTTGAAACACGACAGTAATGTCACAAAGGAAACAATTGCTCAATAAGTTAGTAAAATGCAACTTTATTTGTTATGTTTGGGTTCATGGTGTGACCCATGTACTGTTGCTTTATTGTTTTTACTGTAACTGACCTCTAAAAGAGCTAGAAACAGGGACTCAGCAGCTGAACCTTTGTAAAAAATAACTATAGGAACCACACATTTCACATTTTCGTATAAACTGGTGCAGATGACACGATTTAACCATTTTTGTTGTTATCTACCTGGATTAATGAGCTTACAAACCTTTTTTATAGAGACTACAGGCCATGTATTATTTGTTTTTGTGACCTTTAGTTAAGTTTTTTGTTTGGATTAAGGCAATAAATGCCTATTTCATCACAGATGAACTGCTCCTGTTGCCACATCTTCTGAAATAAAACTGCAGAACACAAAGTAATGTATAAAGGAATGGGTAGAAGATAAAATCAAATTCAATGCATTTCCTAAAGATTAAATGGAACCAAAAAAAACGGGAGTGGTACAGGAGTGGGAGTCATTCTGAATGAGAGCAGGAGTCATGTTACCAGGAGTGGGACCAGACTGGATTTTTTCTGTGACCAGGAAAGGAGTGGAAATCCACTCCCGTGTCATCCTCTAGTCCAGAGGACCCGACTCATCCAGATAAATACAGTATACTGTTGCACGATTGTCTCCTTAACTATTATTTTTTAATATTGGTTTCTCACACATCTCTGTGTAGTACATTTGCATGTTCATCGGCCAGATCCTCCCGTGCGAACTTGCTTCACTCAGCTGGTGCAGGCGGAGGAACGAGCTAGCGGCTCCGGCCGCGATGGATGGCACCGCCCAGGCGAAATGCATCAGTTTTTACCATTAAATAAACATACCCGTAATAAATGTGACGGGTCAGCGGTAACGCATAATAAATGCGACTTTAACGCCAAAGTGACTTATAAGTTTTTTCCTCTTCATGATGTTTTTTTTTTTTTTGTCTGACGCGACTTATACTCTGGAAAATACGGTAACAACTCAGGATAAACAAAGCACGCATCGTCAAAGACTTTTATTGAATTACATCATGATTTATGAATGTTTTTCTACAATTCAGTCAAACAGCAGAACTGACATTCTTGGCTCCCTCAAACACATTCACTAAAAACTAATAAAATCAAAAATATCCTGAAAAAAAGAGAAGGCAAATATCACGGTACTGTGCAATCAAAACAACACTTTATCATAGAACTGTAAACGTAATCCATCAGCCCCTTGTTAAAAACAGCAAAACAGTGCATCAAAGTAGTATTCAGGCTTTGGGAAGACTATAGTAGTTGCATTGTGGGTCTGACATGAGGAGGGGGTGAGCAGCATTTGTTTGACTTTACTGCAGTCTGGGTATTTAGAGTTTATTTTCAGGTAAACTGTCCTCCAGAGGGAAGACGACAAAGCGGACAGTGTCAGTAGCTCCTCTGGAGGGGAGGGACGTGCAGCAAAGACGCTGCAGAGGAGAATAAATGTTGTCAAAGGCAGCACTGTAAAGAAATATCTCTAGACGCAGGGACGGTAGAAGCTGCTGTCAGGAAAGGGGGTAATGCGAGGCATGCCATGTGAAATGTAAGAACCGGATTGGTCAGGAGTGTCCAAACAGAGGATGTGTGTTCAGGGGTCTCTGGACGATAACGGCGTGAGCCAAATCTGCCTCTTCTAGGCTTAATTCTTTGTCGGCGAGCTCTCTGAAAGGGAGGGATGTCATCAGGACGAAAGGCGGGCAGTTCCTCTGGCAGCGTGCCACGAAATCCTGGACATCAGCCACCCTGAGGCAGAACGAGAAGTCACAGATTAGCAGAGGAGGCAAAAAAAAAAGAAATATCTCCAGCTAAACATCCTTCTTAGAAGCACTGCATTCCCAAACACTACTCCCAGCCGTGACACGTGATTTAATCTATTATTAATACCAAGCCAGTGTAGACGAGCGATCCTACAGCAGCCCTACCCCCTGTGCACAGTGAGACTGGTTTAAGATTGGAGGGGCTCAGTCCTCGCTATCTTTAGCCTGGAACATAAATGCTGCATCAGAGTTATGCAATTACTCGCTGGGGATTTTACAGCTCCACGCTGCTGCTAAAACTCAGATTATCTTCTTGGTTTTTTTGCAGTCCCATGCAGCTTTTAAACTACATCAGCCCAGAACAAAGCGTTACATAATCCTAAACATCACTACAAGAAGAAACACTCAACCTGCAGTTAAACTACTGCGATGCACGAGATTATAGGATTTACAGACAAGAGCAGAGGGAGCAGCGAGTGTGAAGACACTCCACATGCAGAGTGACGTCTCCGTGTGTGAGGTGGTGTGTTTAGGTGTCAACGTTGGGATACGCACCGATGGGATAGGTTAAACCTCTGAACCAGTCTCCTGCCATCAGCCAACCAGATCTGCAGCGAGGTAACAGGAAGGGAGTGATCTAAGGTTACCATGGGAATGGGAGGAGATTCTCCATCCTCGTGCACAGATGGCGACCTGGCCACGACTCTGGGTGCGACGCTGGGAATGGACAAGGGAATGAATAACAGATTAACCGCCAGTTCAGAGCGCCAACAGCTTGAACAGACGGGATTTAATGCTTGTTTTAATCTACGTTAATGGTAAACATTTTGTTTTATTTGTGAACTGTTTGGAAAAGCAGTCAAAAGGTTGTGCAGCTGCACCTGGGCAGCTCGGCCTTGTATTATTCTGATGAATATCTGTACAGTGACACCTAGTGGCGTGAATGAATATTACACAAGTAGAGCAAGCGTTCAAACATTCAACATTAATCCTGGTCTTTTGGAGAAAATATCCACAACACGGTTGTTTTTATCCGTGGTTTTGTATATTTATTTATTTGGGTGCAGTCAATAAATTTTTTTTTTTCCCCTGACCAAGTCTAAAAATCCTACTTAAAAAATTGTCAGAATTTTGTCAAATGCTCTCAAATGATTTAGTATTTCACTGTTTTTGTGTTTTTCTTTTGATGCTTTTAATAACATCTTATTATTTTTCATTAACTAATACCTTTGCTCTTATTGTTAAGCACTTTGGTAACAGCTGCTGTTTTAGATGTGCTTTATAAATAAATTTGACTTTGACTCATAACCTCACAGTAACTTGACTACTCTCATGTTCCTGAGGGGGAAAATTCAGCCACATTAGAATACAACTTTGCATCTTAAAATAATGCATTCCTCTCAGTAATATTCTCTCTTTTTACCTCTATCCCTATATTTTAGATTTTTACAATAGCTCAGTAGGCAGTGCTTAGCGTTAACATTTAGCTTCAGAAAATATTTAGTGAGAGGCAGACTTCAACTACTCTAGAAGCAGGACGTATTCTTGGTCAGACGTCGCTGTGGAGACCCACCTCTCATGTCGCCTGACAAGACTTTAGCTATAAAGAGCAAAAACTCACTTGTAATGTGCACAAGAAAACAAAAGCTGTTCCACAGCTGACGCCCAAAGTAAAAGATGTCATCAGCTCGCTATGATATCTGGGTCGGTAAAAGCAAAAAACAAATCTGAAAATGGCGTTGTCCACAAGAACAAACAAATAAACAAAACACCTCCCTGTCAACATGAGTTAGACCAAAGAAAAGGCCCCATTTTTGACTACCGAAGAGTCTCAAAACTTTGGGCTGGAAATTAAATTTTTTTCCCCAAAAATCATTTAGGACGTACTAACGGAGGAAAATGCTTTTTTTTTCTTACAAAAATTGCCATAAAATAAATATATTTTTGTTTTGTTTTTTTATAAAAAAAAATGGAAATGTGGAGATTTGTTTTTTTCATTAAAAGGTCCTTAAAGAGTTAAAACAAACAAAAAAAAGATTTAAGTTTGATATGTTTATTTTAGGCTGAGACAAAAGACTCAATACCAGTAGTTTATTATGGGAGAAAAAACATTTTTAAAATAGCATTTAATGTTAAATAAGGTGTTTTTTCCCCTTTGAACGATCCTAAAGTACAAGGGTTAAAATGAGTCTGTACATGTTTTAAATTCTTTATTTGTCATGTTGGTGCTGCTGTTCAGCGTGGTGTTTTTTGTGCTGTTGGTGTATATTTAGTTGATGTTTTTCTTGGCTCACATCTTGGATCTTATTACTGTTTTTCTTTTACATTGTATTGTTGGATGTAACTGGGACCCTGTGTACATAATTTCGCTCCACCACATGAGGTGCGAATGACGATAAAGAATCTCTGACTCTGATTTCCTGCTAAATAAACTCCAACTGGGTAAAATCATAAATCTAAACCATCGATCAATCAAAACGTTTCTCTCACAGCAAATAAATCCTACCTGCCCAGTCGGTATCCTCGCCCGCTGAAGGGGTGAAAAGTGGCCTTCTTGTGAACGTAGTTTTCCTCCTTCATGTCCTCCACACTGATCTCCAGCTCCTCCTCTTCAGCTCTGCTCTCCCACTCTGCTGGGAGCTCCCTGGGACAGAGTTCAGATCAATGAGCAGAACAAAGACATGCGCTGATAGGATTATTACGAAGTCCTGTTGTGGTCTGAAACCAACAATGTTTTTACGGAAACTTTTCTTTTGACTGTGACTCTAAGACGAAACCAACGAATAACAGCCGGTAAGGAAAGACATGTCTCTAAATACAGCGCTGACGTCTGAAGGTGACTTTATTTTGATTGACTGCCACCGAACACAAAAGGACATTAACGTGGTTGACCGTGTCAGTGCTCATAAGTCTGTAGTGTTAGCAAAATATCTCCTGAACAATAAAACTCTCAGAAAGCTATCACTGAATGTACATCTACAACTCTTAACTTTTGGAGTCGCCTCAATTTGGCAGAACTTAAGAGACACAAAGAGAGCTATAACTCAACCAGTGCTACAGATATTGAGCTAAACTCTGGTGTGATGGACGTTTTTATGCTCAACTCTAAAAACTAAAAGGTATCTCATCTCCCAACATCACAAGATAATACAGAATGTCAAGCTTTGAACTAAATACCGGATACATACTCAATAATCCAGGTAGATAAATATCACAAAGTTGAGTCAGGTCCTCTGGACGGATTCTTCTTAGTTGAAACGTTTCGTCTTTTGTCCAAAAAACTTCTTCAGTGTGAGGAGCTGCAACAAACTCAGGCTTATAAACAGCACAGTCTCATAGTGGATCAACCAGTTTGCTGGTGGCAGACAAAACCAGCTGTTCACAAACAAAGGGGGGGACCATCAGCCTAACGACCAATACTTGGTGCCTTGATGGCTGCTTGCTATTCACAGAGGGATGCTAGCAATAGCAGCATTGAAGAGGGGGATGGTGGAACATGGAGGTTTCCGCCCTGTTTAATGATGGACGAGTTCTCTTCACAAAGAAGGCCTCCTTCACTCCTCTCTCAAACCAACATTCCTCTCTATCAAGTATGTGAACATCTACATCTCTGGAAGAGTGACCGCTGGCCTACACTCATCTGGAGGCCAGTGGTCACGAGAGAGAGGAGCAAAGGAGGCCATCTTGGTGGAGAAATTGTCCATCATTAAACAGGCTGGAGGCCTCCATGTTCAACCGTCCCCCTCTTACAATGCTGTCATTGCATCACTCTTCCCTCTGTGAACAGCAAGCAGCCATCGGGGCACTAACGACCCATTGTTAGGCTGATGTTCCTCCTTTGTTGCATGTGAACAACTGGTTTTGGCTGTCAGCAGCAAACTGGTTGATCCACTATGAGAAGGTCCTGCCTGTAGTAGGGCTTTCACAGACTACTCGAGTAATCTACACATCGATTCCTAAGACATCTATTGAGTTTTTTTATTTCACGTTGAGTATTCATGGTGACGTCATTACAGCGCTGTTACGTCATTGCGTCACGTGATCCGCATCGGGCTACAAAATGGATTCCAAAAGCAGACAGATGGAGCAGAGCAGGCCCAGTCTTAGCAAACAGGTAGAAATGCATCAATAGTGTGGAAATATTTCACTAAAGATGAATCTTCTGGTTCAACCACCGTAAGAAAACAGAAAATGAATCAACTTCCTGACTGTTTGGAGCTCGTTGTGAACCGGTGTCACACTATATTCTGTGACCACCGTATATTGTGACCGTAGGGGGCGGTGTTGCATGCACTGTTGCAGGTCACAGAATATGGTGTAACACCGGGTCCAATCGACCGAACCAGAACCAGCTTCCTCTGACCTTGTTTCACAAACTAACAGCAAAAAATATTCATCTCTAAACCTATAAAAAAAACCTATAATCATATTAATCTCTAAAACTAAACTTAATGCGCACCACAGCTGGCGGTGGTGCGAGGTGGTCCCCCCCACTGTTTTAAGTTTTGTTTTTGACGTGCTGCACGTTTCTTTCACTTTTGCAGCTTCATAATAATAACTAAAAGTTTAGTTTTTCCTGTGACTTATTTGCAGCATGATAAATGGTAGGAGCATAATATACACTCCCAATGTTTTGTTGGTCTTTTTTGTAAATAATGACCTTTTTTTGCAGTTTTATTTATTTATTTATTTTTGTATCTTTAGATCCTATGATGTCATCAAGTACTCGACTTCTACTCGAGTTTTATTATGTGAATGTCGAGTTTAAAAATGATGTCGTCGTTCAGCTCATACCTATAAGACAGTTTGTTGCAGCTCCTCAGACTGAAGAAGTTTTTTGGGCAAAAGACAAAACGTTTCAACAAAGAAGAATCCGTCCAGAGGACCTGAATCCACCTTGTTAGATGTGAGCAAAATGCTTCTGTCATTCCTCAACATCAGATGACTGAAGCTTAAACTCTGGCTTGTAAGATGGCAGGAGAACCTTTCATTCATTGAGGCGGTGCACTCTTGCATCCAGGGGAATTCTTAGATTAGCCAATTAAACTCACCCTCTTTTGATAGCATCCAGGAAGTCTTGGTTCTCTGGCTCCGAGTAGCTACGAAAGTTTCCATCGTTTACCGTAAAGCCGTCTTTCCACAGCCGCACCACCATCTCCACCTGAGAGGACGCAGCAACGAGATCAGTGCCATCACCCGGTTGAGCACTAAGAAAACTACACGGGTCTGATTCTTAACTCGTCACGTTAAGAACAAATTAACGAGGCAAATTGCACAGCTCCGTTGAGTGAAAGGTAAGATTAGTGGTTTTTAACCTTTGACGTCCCTGAAGCGTCATAACAGATCTTCTCCACCTCATCCAGGAGATCTTCCACTGAGAAACTTCGGCTCATTGGAACCTCTTCTTCATCCTTCTCACCGGCACCCCTTCAAGAAATAAAAGATTGATCTTACGCTACATGCAGCACACAATCAGTAGACACGGTTCATTATTTACATACGATCATGCAAACCACCCAAGAATGTTAATTCACTCAAAGTTAAAATAAGGAAAAAGTATTTCTAAACTGTTCATTATATAAAAAATAAATTACTTTGCAGTCAGTTCACCGACTTACCATAGTTCATCTTTCTCAGCCCCCCCAGTGTCATTCTCTTTCATGACGCTCTGTTTCCCATCTAAGAAAAGGTCAAGCAAAAACACACACATGCTACACAAAATGCTCACAAAAAGGTGACGGGACTTTTTTTTGTGTGTGACAATTTTTTTTTTTAAAGTCTCGGGACAGACAGTGAGGGTCGGGGGGGTCATGGGAGTCTGTGACCCACTCGTTCATCCTGATTGACTGATGTCATCATCCATACTGTGAGGAGTTTCAGCCACGTGGTTCCAGGAGCGAGGAGGGTTGTGAAACCTCCTGGGGAGAAGATTCAAAGCTACATTGCAGATCTGAGACCAACCCCCTGATTATTACTGTTTTTATCATTTACCCTTGATGGCTTCCTTCACTCCTACAATACACACATTACTGTCCTTTTAAAGACAGCCCAGATGACCCGACTGAAAAGAGTTGGATTGTATACCTGGATTATTGACTTTGTTGTCCTTGAAAAGACGTCTCTTATCTGTGAGACACAGGTGGACCGCTCAGTCGTGACCTGAAAAGCAGGTTCATTGTTGTCGCTTTAGTGCTCGACACTCCTAATGGGTGCTGGTCGTTCTGTAACTCCCCACCTTATTTACAGTTATGGTCACTTTGTACCCAAACTTTTGCTGGTACAAAATGGAGACTCTTTGTACCCACTGTAGCCTACAGTTTTAAATAATTGTCAGGGGATTTTTGGTCAGGGTTTATCACTACTGTTAAACTAATGAAACCTGTGTTACCAGAGAGGAGCCTGCACGTGCAGCCGAGGTCACACTGAGCCGAGAGCTCATGATGCATTATAAGAACAACTCTCGCACGCTGCCCGGTGCAGATTCTCATGACCGGGCTACAACGATGTGGAGTTTTGGTGCATCTGCAGAAACCCGTGGTGAAAGTCTGCCCTTGCGAGTAGAACCAGTTAAAACATCTTCTCGTGTCCTCGAGTGTGGCTTCTTTCAATGAGTAAGATGAATAGAGAATACAATAGAAACTGGTTTTAACTGGCCATGAGGCAGTGCTCTGAAATATAAATGAAGATCAGATAATTGTTGTTAATCGGGGCCGATAAATCTAGATTTGAACCAGAGGAACCTGCTCGCCGAGAGGCAGCAGCTCTACCAGTTGTGCCACCGTGCTGCCCACTAAAACACCATGTAGGATTGAATTTTGCAGATATTTATGATAAGGACAAAGAACAGAATTTTGTGATTTTGGGGGAAAATTAAATATAACCGGAGTCACACATCTTTGAAATAATCTGGGACATAAATTTTCGTCTTTTGGCGTTAAGATTCTTAAAGCCCGTCTCACGGTGAGACTCAGGTAATGATGCAACTGCTCTGCTCTGATTGGCTCAAACTGTGGCTCTGGGTCTCTTTACTGGTTGAAAGCAGAGTGAGTTTAATCCCTGTATCAACATCAGGTTGGATGGATTTACACATTTCCTTTCCCTCCTCATTTTTTAAAAGATGGAAATCCGTTGCGGCATCAAATGTTAAGATTTTTGAGTAAAACATTTAGGACCAACTTGCATATCTTAATGAATTCAAGACATTTTAAGGCCTTAACGTTAGACACGTGAGTTCAAGTCTTTTTAAGGATGTGCAAACACCCCAGTAGTGAAAAGGGATTAGAAGGATTAAAATCCGTGCACTGTATGACTTGTTCCCTTTTTAATTAAGAGTGCAAATTACACACGGCTAAGATTACACTTTTCTACAGATGTAACCCAGATCCAAACAAGATAATCTATCTTAAATATCCATAGAACACGTGCTTTAAATAAAACTTTCCTTAACTGATAAATAGGTAAATCATTTTATGTCATCATCTTGATCATTCTCATGACTGAATGAGACTAACCTGTATAAATAAAGGTTGAATGAATTGTATAGTTTTACTTCATGCACTGAGTTAAACATCTGCTTTAATGAAGTTTGGACAAATTAACTTTTCAATTCAAATGTTGTCTCCTGTCCTTCCTCACTGGATCTCAATGCACATAACAGTAAATTATTTGACGATATCTAGCTTTAATAGTTTTAAGGCGACTAACCATTAACGTTAATGAAGAGACTTGATAAAAAGACAATATTTTCCACAATTCCCTTTATATAAGCCTTGTTTTATTATTTCTTTTGTCACGTAAGATAAAAAGTGTTGAGAATCCAAAGTTAGAGCAAACAGCATTTATGTTGAGGTGTGAAGAAGGCTGCAGTGCAGTCAAGTTTAGTGTGAGCAGTAGTAAGTACAGTAGATTGTCGGAGTCAGCGTAACGTCATCCCTCACTTGATGTGCAACCATTTTTGGTTGGAGGAAAATACCGTTTTGTTGTGTTAAACTGATAAGAGAAGAAGAATATTTCATTTTTATCTCATATATTTCTTCAAGGCAGCACGGTGGTGCAGTTGGTAGAGCTGCTGCCTCTCGGACCAAAAACATGCACGTTAGGCTGATTGGTAATTCTAAATTGTCTCTAGGTGTGACAGAGAGAGTGGATGGTTGTTTGTCTCCATGTGTCCCTGTGATGGACTGGAGACCTGTCCAGGGTGTCCCCCGCCTCTCACACAGTGATGGCTGGATATAGGCACCAGTGACCCCCGCAACCCAAAAAGGAAGAAGCGGGTAAAGATAATGGACGCATGGATGGATGAAGATTCCTTCAAGTATAAGAATGTAGTAAGGATATGACTGTCCATAAACTCCTGGCAGATGCAACAGTCACAATGTTTAATTTATGTAATGGCACCTATTAAACAATTTATAATAAATATAAAAACGGCTTTCAAGAATTTAAGAACGGAGGAAATATAATCTAGTATGATTCTTTAAAATGCTTTATGCACTCACCCCATCCCTGTTTTCAGAACTATTGGTTTATATTTCTAATGGTTTGTTTCGTATAGTTCAGATTTGTATTGACTCAAGACGATAGAGAAGTACAGATCTCTAATGCATGTAAGAGTCATGTTCTTTGACTTCTCCAGTGCTTTTAACACCATAAGACCTTCTCTGCTCTGCAGTAGCTCCTGGACATGCAGGTGAATGACTCGTGGTCACCTGGATCAGGGATTACCTCACAGGTCGGCCACAGTATGTGAGGCTGCAGAACGCCACCTCGGACACCCTACTGAGCAGCACAGGGGTTCCTCAGGGGACGGTCCTCGCACCGTTTCTGTTCACCCTCTACACCTCGAACTTCAGGTACACAATCCTGCCATCTGCAGAAGTTCTGGATGACTCTGTCATTGTGGGCTGCATCACTGGTGACCAGGAAGCTGAATACAGAAATGTGGTGGACAGAACCATCTGCAACTCAACGTTGGAAAAACTAAAGAGCTACAGGTGGACTACAGGAAGAAGACCAGCCCCACCCTCAACCCTATCAACATCAAGGGTACTAAGGTGGACACTGTGGACTGCTACAAGTACCTGAGGGTCAACCTGGACAATAAACTGGACTGGACAGCTAACACCAACGCCCTCTACAAGAAAGGGCAGAGTCGCCTTTTTCTTCTGAGGAGACTCAGGTCCTTTAACATCTGCAGGACCATGCTGCAGATGTTTTACCACTCGGTGGTCTCCAGCATCTTTGTCTATGCTGTGGTGTGCTGGGGCAGCAGGGTGAAGAAAGCTGATGCCAATAAACTTGATAAACTCATCTAGAGAGCTGGATCAGTTCTGGGAGTGGACCTGCAGTCTCTGACAGAGGTGTCTGAGCAGAGGATGCTGAGGAAACTGCTCCAGATCCTGAACAACATGTCACACCCCCTCCATGACACCCTGGACTCTTCCTGCAGCACCTTCAGTTGTAGACTGAGACCACCGAGGTGCTCCACAGAACAACACAGGAAGTCCTTCCTCCCTGTGGCTATCAAACTTTTCAACTCCTCCCCCTTTCTACACAGAGGACAATAAAATTAATCCTGCACTACAATAAACTCTTTAATGTCTCTGTCTGCACCTGTTTTAGAACTTAATTGCTGGTATTTTTATATCCTCCGTTATTATTTTTATGTGTGATTCTTGTGCATGTTCCTTTGTACGGAAACTCTGGCGCAACAATTTCCTGCGGGATCAATAAAGTTCCATCTTATCTTATCGTATATAAACTTAAAGCAACAAAAATGACTGGTGATTAAAATGTGCCAAACAGACATGTGTGTGCATGCTATGTGGTGACCAAAGTGTGCAGCTTTCCTTTGTTCCCTTCTCGGTCTTGCAGACAGAATTTTTTTTTTTTTATATTTTCTATTTGGATGTTTCTTTTTGTCAGATATGCAACCATTCCCACAACAACGTCTCACTATTTTGTCAACTTTCCCTCAGACCAATATGTCAGCCTCAATGTTCACATGACCATGTACCCGGACTTTGAGAACGGGTACGAAACGGTAACTCTGAGGTTCAGAATGACCCACAGCTGTTTGCGCTCCTTGTCCTTTTTTTTTTGTAAAAAATATGATCAATTTACATGTGACTCCAAAATGTCTTTAGTTCAATGTCTTAACCTGAAGCTCTCATCCATTATCACAACTAAAGAAGCCTTTTGAATGATGTGCTCAAGTAACAACAACAACAACAACAACAACAACAACAACAACAACAACAACAACAACAACAACAACAACAACAACAACCACCTGCCTTCAGCTCAAGCATTGAGGATCACCAGAACCAGATCACTGTCATTTGATAAGGTCAATAACATCAAAGCAAACACGTTCTTGTTTATAGTATTTAACCTTGTTTTATGGCACCTTCATTTATCTTTTTATATCACTACTTTTATTTTAACAGCATTGTTTTTTTACTGTACTTTAGATGTCGTCCGTCTAAAACAGGTCTCTCTTGTAAATGAGTCCCGTGACTCAATGAGACTAACCTGGATAAATAAAGGTAGACTGACAGTGAACTACACAAACAAGCACGCTTTAAATCAGGCCTACAGCAGCAATAAAACGCTGTGCTTCAGGGTTACCCTTTAATTGCCACCTGTCTTACTCCTTCTTACTACCAGTGTGTGAAATGACAAAACGTGGTGATAAGTATTAGAGCGAGCTGCTTCTATAAAAATAACAAGCAGACATATTTAGGCAGGTGGGCGTTGAGAGCCATGGACGCTCTATCGACACAAAGCTAAACATAAAACACGGGGTTTAAAAACACACACGGACACTCAAGATGCTTATTCACATGCGCTTATCAAGAGTAAAGGGAAATACTGAATTACCAGTTCGTTTTTAGTCGGTTAATCCTGAGCTACACCGCCGCAACATTAAATTACAAACAGCGGCTCTTCTGCTGAGCAAGGTATGTGACGTAACAGCGCCGTAAGTCCGATGCTGTTGTCGTAATTAGTGACGTAAACCCCGGCTCTTGTTCAGTCGTTCACCAAGAGTCGATTCTTTTTGGCTCCTGAACGGCTCTTGACGTACAGCGTTTTAAAAGGATACAAGTTTTCCTCTTTAATTATGTATGGATAAACGAATAGGTAGAATAGAACTCAAAGTAATCAAACTAAAACCTAAGGTTTAATATACTTTACTTTATCAATCAACCTTTATTTATACAGGTAAATCCCATTGAGCCTCGAGGACTCATTTACAAGAGAGACCTGATTTCAACAAAGAAAGATGACAACAATGGACAACAGCAACAACAATAAACAGTTATAAAAAAGCATACTACAGTTTTTTTGTTGTTTTTTTAACAAATAGGATGGCTAAAAGGAAAAGGTAACAAAACAAAAAACAGCTAGATTCCAAGACAAATGTAGAAAACTAAAAACAGGAACATGTCAGCATTGGACCCTGCCAGGTGTCCAACAGATTCTTAAAGCCACTTAGAGAGGTCAAGGTCGAGAGCTTCAAATCTTTTTGTAAGATGTTCCAGGAAACAGGAGCGGAATAGGAGAAGGCCCTTTTGCTAAGTTCAGTCCTCATTGAGGGAACACTGCAGGTAATAAAATTTATTACTTTAATATACTTAACACACAAATATTTAAGCTAATAAAATTCAATTCAAAAATACTTTATTAATCCCTGAGGGAAATTATATGTTGTGGTAACTCATCATCCTGGTTTCATTAAAGAGTTGTTATAGATACTGATGGCTGTGGGCAGGAAGGATCCCTGGTATCGTCTGTCTTACAGCGTATCTGAAGAAGCCTCTGACTGAAGACACTTTGTTGTTGTATGACAGTCTGATGAAGAGGATGCTGAGGGTTGTCTATAATGTTCTTCATTTTATGAAGAATCCTCCTTTGAACAATCATCTCCAAAGGTTCTAGAGGAGTCCCCAGAGCTGAGCCAGCCTTCTTTATGAGCTTGTTGATCTTTTTTAAGTCACTTGCTCTGGTGCTGCTCCCCCAGCAGATGATGGCAGAAGAGATGGCACTCTCTACAACAGACTTGTAGAAGATATGCAGCATTTTGCTGCAAACGTTGAAAGACTTCATCTTCCTCAAGAAGTACAGTCTGCTCTGTCCCTTCTTGTAGACGCTTCACTGTTGCATTTCCAGTCCAGTCTGTTGTCCAGGTGAACCCCAAGGTATTTATACTTCTCCACCACCTCCACTTATTTTCCCATGATGAAAATAGGGTTGGACCTGTTCCTGATTCTCCTGAAATCTACAATCATCTCCTTTGTTCATCAACATCAACGAGGACCCTCATCAGTACGCATACCGTGAGAACCGATCAACAGAGGATGCAATCTCCTCTGTGGTCCACACTGCACTCAACCACCTGGAGCAGAAAAACTCTTACGTCCGTATGCTCTTTGTGGACTTCACATCCGCCTTCAACACCATGATCCCCCAAACCCTGATGGACAAACTATCCACACTAGGACTAAGCCCCTCCATCTGCAACTGGGTACTAGACTTTTTAACAAACAGACCACAGTTAGTGAGGATCCACAACCTCTCCTCCTCCACCATAACCCTCAGCACTGGCTCTCCTCAGGGATGTGTGTTGAGCCCCCTCCTGTTTACTCTGCTCACATATGATTGTGCAGCTACCCATCCAGGCTGTCACATTGTAAAGTTTGCAGATGATACAGCGGTGGTGGGATGCATCACAAACAATGATGAGTCCAGCTACAGGCAGGAGGTGGAACACCTGGAGAGCTGGTGCAGAGAGAATAACCTTCACATCAATGTGAAGAAGACAAAGGAGATGATTGTGGACTTCAGAAGGAACAAAAACACCTACACCCCCCCTGAACATAAGAGGATCTGCGGTGGAAGTGGTCTCCAGCTACAAGTACTTGGGTGTACACATGAATGACAACCTCAGCTGGAGCAACAACACCACCAGCCTGATCAAGAAAGCTCATCAGAGACTCTACTTCCTCAGACGGCTGAGGCGAGCTGGTCTGGGAAGCTCAGTCCTCACCTCCTTCTACAAGTGTGAAGTGGAGAGCATCCTGTGCTCCAGCATCAACGTGTGGCATGAAGGCTGCACAGAAGTCTGTTGGAGACAGCCTCCCCACCATCACAGACATCTACACCTCCAGGAAGAGGGACACCTGCATCATGAAGGACCCCACTCATCCAGCACACACACTTTTTGCCCCGTTCCCCTCAGGCTGAAGGTTGAGGAGCATTAAGTGTAGAACCACTAGACTGAGGAACAGCTTCTACCCTGAGGCTGTTAGACTCATGAATCTCTAACTAGAATAATCACTGTGAAAAACCATATCATGTTGCTGCTGATCTGTTTCATGTTGCTGCTGATCTGTTTCAATGTTGATGTGTTCATGCGTGCACATCTGCTCACAGACTCATGTTCATGTTTGTGGTGATGTTCAATGTTTTATGTTATGAGTGCTTAGTGTATATTTAGTTGATGTTTTTCTTAGTTCATATCTTAGATGTTATTACTGTTTTTCTTATACATTTTATTGTTGGATGTAACTGGGACCCTGTGTACATAATTTCGCTCCACCACATGTACCACATGAGGTGCGAATGACAATAAAGAAACTCTGACTCTGACTCTTTGTTTTGTTCACATTCAAGATGAGATGATTGTTTCCACACCATGCCACAAAGCGGTCCACCAGTTCCCTGTACTCAGCTTCTTGTCCATCTCTGATACACCTGACCACTGCAGAGTCATCAGAATATTTCTGCAGATGACAGGAGTCTGTTTTGTACTGGAAATCTGAGGTGTACAGAGTGAAAAGGAATGGTGAGAGTACAGTACCCTGTGGTGCTCCTGAGCTACTGACCACCTGGTTAAGACACACAACCCTTCAGTCTCACAAACTGTGGTCTGCTTGTCAGGTAGTCTTTGATCCAGGTGATTGTTGAAGCCTCCACCTGAGTCTTCTGGAGTTTCTGGCAAAGCAAATCAGGCTGGATTGTGTTAAATGCACTGAGTAAATCAAAGAACATGACTCTCACAGTGCTGTCTGCCTTTTCTAGATGACAGTGAGTTTGCTGAAGCAGGTGTATGATGGCATCTTCAACTCCAAGTCCACGCTGATAAGCAAACTGCAGTGGGTCCTGATATGTGCCTATTTGTTTAGTCAGGTGGGTCAGCAGAAGTCTCTCTAGGACCTTCATGATGTGGGATGTCAGGGCAACAGGTCTATAGTCATTGAGGACTGATGGGTGCGTTTTCTTTGGCACTGGAACAAGACAGGATGTTTTCCACAACACCGGAACCTTCTCCTGGGTCAGGCTAAGGTTGAAGAGGTGCTGCAGAACCCCACAGAGCTGCTCTGCACAGACCTTCTGGACTCTGGGACTGACACCATCTGGACCTGCAGCCTTATTCCGGTTCAGTCTCTCCAGCTGCTTCCTCACCTGACTTCTGGAGACGTAGAGGGGGAGGCAAAGGAGGTATCAGCATCTTCTGATTTGTTTGAAGACCAATATGTAGAAGAAGTGTCCATGACTGAGGTGGTAGATACAGTATTTGAGGAGTGACAGGACAGCCTTGGGTCAATGGAGGGTGGTATGTATGTTTGGTTGTGGGCAAGAGAGGAGGATGCTGAGCTTATTCCTGAACTGAACCTATTGAAGAATGTGTTCAGTTCATTGGCTCTGTCCAGGCTTCCATCCTTCTGATCCTCCTTCTGCTTGAAGCATGTGATCTGTTTCATCCCTGACCACACCTCTCTGATATTGTTCTGTTGGAGCTTGCTCTCCAACTTCTTCCTGTACACCTCCTTGCTGTTTCTTATTTTGACTTTTAGTTGCTTCTGTGTTCTCCTCAATAATTCCCCGTCTCCCTCCCTGAAGGCTTTTTTTCTGGTTTAGCATTTCCTTCAGGTCAGTGGTGATCCAGGGTTTGTTACTGGGGAAGCATCTCACTGTTCTGGTGGGGATGGTGTTGTTTACACAGAAGTTTATATAGTCGGTCACACACTCAGTCATGGCATTGATGTCCTCTCCATGTGGCTGGCCCAGTGCATCCCAGTCTGTAGCCTCAAAACAACCCCACAGGGCTTCTTCAGCTTCCGTTGACCATTTTCTCACTGTTCTCTTTATTGTAGATTGCCTCTGAACAAGAGGTTAATATTTTGAGCAGAGAAACACAAGATTGTGATCTGATTTGCCAAGAGGGGGTCTTGCTTTAGCGATGTATGAATCCTTGACATTTGCATAAAACAAGTCCAGCATTTTGTTTTCTCTGGTAGAGCAGCTGACAAACTGTTGGAATATCGGAAGTGTAGCAGAGAGTGAGGCATGATTAAAATTCCCAGATATTGCAACAAACGCACTAGGGTGTTGAGTCTGTAGCTTAGCAACCTCGGAGCTGATGACATCACACGCAGTCTCGGCAACAGCATTCAAATTCAAATTCAAATTCAAAAATACTTTATTAATCCCAGAGGGAAATTATTTTGTTGTTGTAACTCGTTATCCTCATTTCATTAAGAGATGTTATAGATGCTGATGGCTGTAGGCAGGAAGGATCACTTGTAAAGGTCCATCTCACAGTGGATCCTAAGAAACTGGCTGCAGATGCCGTCCGATCCGTCCACCCAGACTCGGCTGGCCTCTTGGTTCCCCTGGACTGTAGGACCGCTTGAATGCTGGGCAGAACTCCTCCCAGAGCGATGGCCACTCCTCCCAGCAGTCTGCCGAGCTCCTCCTTGCTGCGGACAGCCAGCTGTAGGTGCTGAGGGACGATCCTGTCCTTCCACTGTCATGAGCCGTGTTTCCTGCCAGTTCCAGGATCTCAGTGGTCAGGCACTCGAGCACAGCTGGCAGGTAGATGAGAATGCGTCCATAGAACATCCTTTTCAACTTATTTGAGAGTTGGGGCCATAGTTGAGATATTATTTCAGCTTTTGAGATGTTATTCAGCTGCTGTTGTTGTAGAAAACTGCCTTGTTGCCATGGTTACGCATCATAACAAATGTACAAAACTAAAAAAAGTTTCCGTAAAAATCCTTCCAGCTGCACAGCATTCGATACCAGAGGAAACAATCATCCAAAAAATGTGATTTACATCCAGAAAAAGAGGAATTAAAGTTTCCAAAAGCAAAATCTCAGAATGAAAGTAACAGAGCTGCTCCAACATGCAGCCACCTTGAGCGGCGCAATTCTAGAAAAAATTAATTCATTGGGTGGAATGTAAACATTTGCCAAAATTACACTTGTGAACTCTCTTGGCAAATAATATGGACGACAACTTCGTGCTAACAGTTCAATATCTGGACTGCAGAGACGACACTTCACAGTAACATGTCCAGGATTACACCACCTGTTGTTCACAAGCGCTGCCAACCCACCTCCTTTCCTTTTGCCACTCCTCTTTGAATCTCTATCTGCTCGTATGGTCAGAAAGCCTGACAAGGAAACGCTGGAGTCAGGGATATGATCCTGAAGCCATGTCTCAGTGAAACACATAACACTGCATTCCCGATACTCTGGATGGGTCCTTGTTAGGGCTTGAAGTTCATCCAACTTCTTTCCCAGAGATTTCACATTGCCCATCATGATCGATGGAAGAGATGGTTTAAACTTCATTCTTCTCTCTTTTTCCCTCTTCTTTGCTCCAGCTCTGCATCCACGACGCCTCCTTTTCAACTCATTTGGGATTTCAGGCTGTAGTTGAGATATTATTTGAGCTTTGGAGATGTTAATCAGCTGCTCCTGGTTGTAAAAAACAACCTTGTTGTTATGGTTACGCATCATAACAAATGTCCAAAAGCAAAGATATTTCTGTAAAAATCCTTCCAGCTGCACAGCATCCAACACCAGAGGAAATAATCATCCAAAAAAGCGATTTATATCCAGAAAAAACAGGAATTAAAGTTTTCAAAAGTAATATCTCAGAATGAAAGTAACAGAGCTGCTCCAACATGCAGCCACCTTGAGCGGCGCAATTAACACTGACACTGTGTTGACTTTACCAGGCAAAAGTAAACATTGAAGAGTCCACCTTTAAAACACACTACTGAACAAAACAAATATATTTTTTAGATGTCTGTTTAACAAAAGAGCAAAAAAAAAAAAAGCCTTAACTTCTCACAATGACACATTTAGTTGATTTCAATTTGGAGACTTTGTTTTAGCATTTGAGCTATTAAATCCAGATGTGTATTCTCTGTCCACTTTTTGGTTATTAGAAACACTTTGTCCAACAACCATCCATCCATTATCTTTTACCCGCTTCTTCCTTTCGGGGGTCGCGGGGGTCACTGGTGCTCATATCCAGCAGTCACTGTGCAAGAGGCAGGAGACACCCTGGACAGGTCTCCAGCCCATCACAGGGACACATAGAGACAAATGAGACAAGCAACCATTCACTATCTCACTCACACTTAGCGACAATTTAGAGTTACCAATCAGCCTAACATGCATGTTTATGATCTGTGGGAGGGAACTGGAGTACCTGGAAAAAACCCATGCATGCACGGAGAGAACATGCAAACTCCACCCAAAAAGGCCCCCGGACTGGGATTTGAATCAGGGTAACCTGCTCGCTGAGAGGCAGCAGCTCTACCAGTTGCACCCCTGTGCTGCACTGAGCCTATTACATAAGACACAGAATGATACCGAAATGACATTTCATTATTATTCATACTCCCCCCCCTCACAATCACAGATAATGTTTTATAAAACTTTAAGATTTTACCACAAAATGTTGAACTTAGAGTGGGATGATGTCTCACTAAATTAGAGGTTAACGGTCTCAGATTTTTGCAAACGAGCCCACAGTTGTCATGAAAATCAATCAATCTATCTATCTATCTATCTATCTATCTATCTATCTATCTATCTATCTATCTATAATTTGTCTTTTTTCTGACAGTCTTTCTCAAACTGTTATAGAACAAATAGTTTTCTCTCCCATCCCATCAGAATGCCAAGTGAGCACATCCAAACTCTCACTGACTTCCATTGTAAATAAGTTTAGATTAGATGAAACATTATTCATCCTTTGGGAAGATTCCTTCAAGGTTCAAGGTTCAAGGTGACTTTATTGTCATTTGCATCACTTGTGGTACATGAAATAGAAAAAAAATTGTGTACTCAAGGTCCCACACCCAAAAATAGCAAATCTATAAAGTATAAAAAAGAAACAGTATACAGGGCTCTAAGATATACACTAAACAATAATCATCATCATCTTAAGGTCAAGGTAAACGTTTCCTTATTGTCATTCACATCATATGTGGTACATGTGGTGGAACAAAATTGTGAACACAGGGTCCAAGTTACATCCAACAAAAGTATAAATTGTAAAATAAAAACATTAATAAGATCTAAGATATGAACTAAGAAATACACTAAACTAAGAATACACTGAGCACTAGTAGTACAAAAACAATGTACGTCGAGCAACAGCAGCACGAACATGAGTCTGTGAGCAGATGAGCACGACAGCAGCTTGAAATAAATCAGCAGCAGCATGCAGTGCATATCAACAATCAAGTGGCGTTACAGTGATTTTTTTCTTCTTCTTCACCGTGGTGATAATTAGGGATTTATGATTCTAACAGCACTCCAGTTTCCTCCCACAGACAAAAAAACATGCATGTTAGGCTGATTGGTAACTCTAAATTGTCCCTAGGTGTGAGTGAGAGTGAATGGTTGTTTGTCTCGTTTGTCTCTATGTGTCCCTGTGATGGACTTGCGACCTGTCCAGGGTGTACCCCGCCCCTCGCACAGTGATTGCTGGACATGGGCACCAGCGACCCCCGTGACCCAAAATGGAATAAACGGGTAAAGATAATGGATGGATGGATTCTAACAGCTTCAGGGTAGAAGCTGTTCCTCAGTCTAGTGGTTCTACACTTAATGCTCCTCAGCCTCCTTCCTGAGGGGAGCGGGGCAAAAAGTGTGTGTGCTGGGTGAGTGGGGTCCTTCATGATGCAGGTGGCCCTCTTCCTGCATCTGGAGGTGTAGATGACTGTGATGGTGGGGAGACTGATTCCAACAGATTTCTGTGCAGCCTTCACCACTCTCTGCAAAGCTTTTCTTTCTGCAGCTGTGCAGCCTCCATGCCACATGTTGATGCTGGAGCACAGGATGCTCTCCACTGCACACCTGTAAAAGGAGGTGAGGACTGAGCTTCCCAGACCAGCTCGCCTCAGCCGTCTGAGGAAGTAGAGTCTCTGATGAGCTTTCTTGATCAGGCTGGTGGTGTTGTTGCTCCAGCTGAGGTTGTCATTCAGGTGCACACCCAAGCTGGAGACCACTTACACCGCAGATCCTCCTATATTCAGTGTGTGTGTGTTTGTTCCATCTTAAGTCCACAACCAAGGGAAATTAAATTATGAAAATAAAAGGAAGTTTCTCTTCTTCTTTAAGTTGGCAATATTTCCTGTAATAGTCGTGAAACAGTAAAACCGTTTGTGTGCAAGAACTGAACCAGATGCTTTTGTTACCTTACAGTTTAGGATTTTTCTATTACAGCTCATATTTGTAGCACAGTGACTGTTTGTCTGAGACTAATTTTCTACTCAGTGTGTCTGCATGTCTTGTCTGAAGTGCTGTCAACAGGTGAACAGACGCAGGTGTGTGGTTACCATGGTAACCCCAAACTAGCCACCGGCTTCAACTGTTCTTTTGATCGTGGTTCTCTTTACACTGCAGCTCATAATTCAACATGTGGCCATTTTGTCAGGTTAGGTTGTTACAAAAATAAGTACTTACATTTTTCTTCAGAACTGTCATGGTTGTACTAAACATTAATGGTTTTATTGAAAAAAAAAATAGGAACAGTTTCCCATGTGTCTATGTAAAATAATATTTTTCCTCAAATGCAATCTACAATAGCTAATTTTCCTCATTTGTAAGTGCTTCTAGTTTCCACACAGCGTCAACATTATAATGTGTTAGCTAAATATTTAGTGAGCAGAAATGAATGCACCTGCCGAACCGACTCTCTGGGAGGGAGCGGAGAAATGGCGCCTCGATGCTGCGCTCACTGAGGCGGTGTTTGGAGCCGGTCGGCGAGATTCAATGAGGACAGTTTGAAGGAGGCAGCATGGAGAACACAAGGAAAAACGCTCGGAGCCGGAGCGGCACGTTCATCTCCTCCAGGACCAGGTCGTCATCGAGAAGACAGCGAAACTCTGAGGAACATGTAAGCCGGGTTCTTTTCTTTACCGGCGAGCTAGCTGCCTCCGCTAGTTTGGCTAGCTAGCTGTGTAGCTCTGGCCTCAAGCTGCTCCAACTAATGTTTTATTTACAGCAAAAATAGAAGCGCCAGTCAAACTGACACCCACCCAGTCACACTAATAAAGAATGAAAGCTTTGAATGCCGCCGTTCGTTTGCACTAAACTTATTGTGCAGCAGTCAAAATACAAGCTAGCGACTTGGAAGTCCTGGCTAGCTCCAAGTTGAGTTCCCTTTGTGTTTGGGCAATTTTACCCAGCTGACTTGTTTCACCATTGTCATCAAATATTAGCCGTGTAGGTACGGCCAATTGATAAGAGTTTAATAGCTCTACTGTAAGTCGCATTCCTGGGAATATATTCGCTCATTTTTTAAGGTTTAAAGCAAATGTTGAGCTCTCGTTTGTGGGGGATAGCTAGCCCGTCAGCTAGCTTACAGTGGGGGAAGGGAGTCCCAGGTCCACAACAGTTGGCTGGCTCAAGTCCCGTTTTCAAGAAGTCTGAACTTGGTGAACTTTATGTTGTAAATAGCTCCAAGGGCCACAAAAGAGTTGTTCTTAAATTGCGCGAATTAAACACAAGCAGACAACTTTTAGTTCGCCTGTAATGCTGACCTGCAGCATGGATTTAGCTTTAGTTTGGACTGTCTGACCCGCAAGCTGTCAGCCTTTGTCTCAAAATGTAAACAGTGAAAAAGTGCAAGCTTCTGCGTCCTCCAGTCATTTTCACGTTTATTGCAGCATCCAGCTCCAGCAACGGTGATGCTAATCTGCACATTTGTTATTTTCCAAGCAGGGTAAATGTGGCAAGGAGAAGTTGTGGTTTAACAAATTCAAATCATTCCTAAAAGGACTGCAGTCAGTTTAGTTATTGCACAACAATGTTGTGCTTTTGACAAAACTTTGATTCCCTATTATAGCACACGGTTTCTGAAAATGCATTGTTTTTAAGCAGACATCTTTTTTTATTTATTTTGCTTTACAAGTTATCATCTGGTTTTGTTTTAAAGATTTTCACAAAGCGGAGCAGGGCGTGATAATTTCCAGCTGTGCCCAATGTGAACGCAGCTTTGTGAGTCTGCTTAAAAACAAAAAGTACTGGGATGCACTCTGAGTACATCTCGCAGCATTCTCTGTCAGCATCGTTATCAAAAAGCAGTCAGATGAACCGTTCATCTGGCGTACAGGCGGGCAGTTGTCTATGATAACACTGATACGCTTCTCATACCAGCTGTGAAGTTATTCTGTAAGGGCACAGGCATCAAGGGCATTTTTCTGCTGATGTTTTGATTTTAAGAGTATATGCTTCGTTAAAAGGCATCATGTCAGTTTATAGACGCTATTTCTTGCTTGTGTCCTTGAAGTGTTTGTTTACATTGACTGACGGGGTGTTTTTTTAATTTTTTTTGTGCAGAAGTTTGTCAAATGATGTCCTTGTGTCTGCTATATTTGTTTATTTTTTTAAAATCTGGTACTTTCAAGGTTTTGCCAGTCTTGTATTCTCTCGCTGCTCTCTCTTTACCCCTTTTGTTCCTTGTATGTTTGCTCAACAGAAGGAGCCCGGCAGTGATGCGAGCAGTCCCAGCAGTCCACGGTTGGCACCCCCTTCCAAACGAGCGCGGAGGAAGAGGGTGTCTGAGCCAAGCTCCAGTGACACGTCCCCGTCCCCTCAGGCAAAGGGCCAGAGGGTCAGCTGGGGCGTAACCACCTACCGCACCAGGTCACTTGTTTGAAATGAAACATTTTCAGTTTCTAAAGTGCACATTTTTATAGAGCAAGTCAATTTTTTGTGTTGTAAACAGAAACTTTAAAACAGTGAAGCCTGTACATAGTAGGCAGATAAAAACGTTGCATCCTGCTCAGATTTCATACATATTTGTATTCTCTTTCCAGACTGTCATCCCGCAAAATGCAAAATGGCCACGGTAATTAATTTATTTTCCATTTGTCTGTATTGAAACAGGTGCGTTTGGAAACTACCACAAAATAAAAAAATAAAAAATCCCTCTAATCTTCATTTTATCTTTTATTGCTGCAGCTAATATGAGTCACAGAAATGAGGAGAGCGGAGGGGGGGACCACTCCCGAATGAATGGCCATGTGGAGCTGAAGAGGAGCTGCAGAGTGAGGAAGAGCCAATTTCAACACCTCAATCAGAGCCTGCTGTTCGACCAGCTGGTCAACAGGTAGCTGCCCGTCACAGGAGTGACATTTTCCTTCGCAACACTGAATCAGACCGTAAAGCAAGAAATGTCACCAGTTTAGCCTAAAACATTGTTCTCCTTAACATCCACCTTACATGATTTGATTACATTTGGGTAGTGCGTTTGGCAGCACGACAGCTCAGTGGTTAGACTGTTGCCTCACAACAAGACGGTCCTGGGTTCAATCCCCAGTTGGATCTGGGCTCTTTGTGCGTGGAGTTTGCATGTTCTTCTCATGCTTGCGTGAGTTTTCTCCGGGTACTCGGGTTTCCTCCCACAGACCAAAACATGCATGTTAGGCTGCCTTCAGGCCCAGACCTCCCTTGCAAAAGAGTTCTGTGATCTCAATGGGATTTGCTTGGTTAAATGAAGGTGAATAAAAATAAAGGCAAGTCTGAACAGCCAGTCCAGGTCAACAACAGTCCAGGTTGTCTGGACCCCTTTTAATATTTGGTAATCTAATACGACACCTGGACTTCTCTGGGTAAAAAAAAAAAAAAAGTCAGCTGAGCTGCCGGCTGATTAAAGACTACACCTTCCATCCCATAGATCAGGGCTATCAACTAAATTGCTTAGGAGGCCACAGTTACAGAAAGCCAAGAGTTCAGGGGCCAGACATCCAGCAGTTATTATCATTAAGTAAGTTTTATGGTGTAAAATCGTTTTATTTAAAAACGAACCCATTGATGGGCCGAACCGAGTTCACCCATGGGCCTGATTTGGCCCCCGGGCCGCCAGTTGACTAGCCCTGCTTTAGAATAATCTGAAGAAACATGTTTTGTTGTTGTTTTGGTTACAAGGCTTACTGAACAAATATCTGTTTATTGGGATTTTATCAGTGGATTACAAAGACTCTGCACGGTGAGTTTAGCTGAACGCCTTTTCTGATTGTTTTTAGAGCTGATTGGACCCGCTGCGGTCTCTGTACGCTATAATGTGCTGTCAGTCACAGGAACAGCAGAGTTACGTCACATTAAGTTCGATAAACACATCGCTGATGTCGCGTTCACAGTGAAGCTGTGTAGAGAACAGCTGTTGGAGCATCGTTTCAATGTGGATGAGTTTTATGGATTTTAATTTTCACTCTTCTCTGACGCAGAGCTTTGTGAAGTCACCGACAGCATGCTCTGTTTGTCTCTTGTTGTGTCTGCTGGGTAACTTCTTGACATCCAGTCACAAGAACATTTAGGGATATGCAATAAACAGCCAGGTGTGAATACACAGTCAAAGCTGTCCACTTGCAATTAAATCTTTAAAGACAGGTTTTTAGTGCAAGGTCTGAACAGTGCCTTAGACTTCTGCATCAGAATGAGCTAACTTTTTTTATTTGAGAAAACCGTGGAAGAAAAAGAAAAACACTGAAAATTTTTGATTGATGTTTAAATTGTATAAATGAAATATATTAGAGATGATTAATTTTAATGAGATTATGTAAAGCTCATGGAGCTTACAAAGGAAAATTATACAATCTATGTTTATTTATTTTCCTTTTCTATTTTTTCCACAATGTTGTGGCATCCCTGTTTAAAAATTAGAAACTTTCACTTTAAAGTAATAAAAAAATAGTTGTGTGATGCTCCCAGAACACAGGTCCAAATGTCAGAAGATAAGTCAGGTGCATCTACCATTGACTGGTTTAGTGAAAGTTCCTCAGAGTGGCTCCGTCATTCCCTGGTGGAGCACAGAGAATACAATAAAACTTGTAGTGGTCCTCAACTTTGGTCCTCGAGGACCAGTATCCTGCATGTTTCAGTGGTTTCCCTGCTCTTCTGCAGGTCTTTAAGTACCACAAGTCAGTTTATCACTCGTTCATTCACACCTGGTGTGTTGAAGCAGAGAAACATCTAAAACATGCAAGATAGGACCAAGATTGAGGACCACTGAGGAAGTGGTCTATCATGCAAGACGCACCCTCCCATTGCCTGAGTAATGCCCCCACACCATCACCTGTCTGATATTGGATTACCTTTTTGATGTGGGTTTCTGCTCCAGTCACTCTAGTCCAGGCCTGGCTCCCCACGTTTGCTAGTCCCTGACTGTCTCCATCCTTAAGTGTGAGGTCCCAGTATCGTGCTCTATGGAAAGTTGATGAGGTTGATGGCCTTTCCCTGATAGTAATATCTACACAAACAACTTTGTGTACTAGGGCTATGCTATGTGCACGTAGCTGTAGATGATACACATCAAGTTGTGTCTTTCATGGAGGAATTAAGTCTTTATGGCATCGCTGCACAGGCTCTTTGGACTGCAGTAGAAGAACAACAAACCAAAGCATTGCTGTTAAATTCCTCCGCGTAAACACAATCGATCATAAACTTTACAAATATAGTTACAAATACTGTCTTTTAGCGTGTTTTTTTCATGTGTACCATCTTTTATTACTTCTTTTGTGCATTTGCAGCACTGCTGAGGCTGTTCTCCAGGAGATGGACAACATCACCAGCATCAGGCAGAGCCGTGAGGTGGAGCGACTCCGCATGTGGAATGGAGAGACCGAGGAGGTGAGGGCAGCTCGCCGTCAGAAAAGGCACTGCCACCCGACGCTGAGGTGGACACAGGTAGCATTAAGCTTCTTCTCTTTCAGGAAAACATGGACATGTATTCCCGGGTGAAACGCAGGAAATCAATGCGCAGAACCTCGTACAACATGCCTGCGCACCACAAAGTCATGAGCAAAGACGAGGACGAGGAAGAAGAGGAGGAGGAGGAGGAAGGGACAGAAGGTGTGTATTCTGTTAAACGTGTTTTAAAGAAACAGTGGAGTGAGAAACACATGAAAACCTTGAGAGGGTCTTTGCTTCTCCAGCTGAATTCGTAATTAAGAGCTGTAAATATATGAAGTAGCTTCAAACCGCTGGTAACCAGATGTGCTGCTGTTACAACAGTCTTGTGTGTGATCACACCTCTGTCTGCTCTGAATGACCTCAGACACATTGGTTGTTCACTGGGCACAGAAAAGTGTCGTTTGATCACATAGTTTGATCTCCGTTTGGTATTTTTCCTACAAAAAGTTTGAAACTGTGGCTTTCAGAATCTCATGGAGAGGAAGAGGAGGATGCAGAAGATGACGATGAAGACGACGAAGGAGATGAAGTAGAAGAAGCGGAGGAGGATAATGACAGACGGTACAACCTGAGGCAGCGCAAGACGCTGCAGAGATACGAGGCTCCACCGATCGGTGATTGTTTTCAAATAATCCAAACCCCACATTTACGTTTAGTTAACGTCTATGGAAAGGTCGGGTGTTTACCACCTCGTGTTTGCTTTCTCAGAGCCTGTGAACAGAAAGCAGAGCAACCCGTCACTTTTCGACACTCACAGATCCCCAGCACGAAGAAGCCATATCAGGTGGAGGAAACCTTTAAACCGACCTTAGTCTAAAGTTGAATATATAGCGATGTAGAATTTTTATGCGGCTTGACTAATGAGCTCTGAATGACCGTGAAGTGAAGCAGATTTATATTTTTATTCTTCCCAGAGTGAAGAAACACGCCATTCACAGCAGCGACACCACCTCATCGTCTGATGAAGAGCGCTTTGAGCGAAGAAAAAGCAAAAGCATGACCCGCGCCAGGAACCGGTAATAACTGCTGTTTTATCCGCTGCAGTTGTCCCTCGTTTATCACGGGGGGTTACGTTCCTGACCCCCCGCAATAAGTGAAAATCCACGAAGTAGGAACGTCATATTTATTTTAGTATTTATATTTTAAGGCTTTATAAACCCTTCCCACACACTTACAACATTCTAAACTCTTAACCCTACGTCATTTTAACATATGTACTGCACAGTAGCTACGTACTGTAAACAAAACCACACAATGATCCTGATCAATTCCAAATCCGGATGAAAAAACTCCCGCTGAGTGCCGGAGAAAACACTGGACCTCTAAGCAACGCCTCCCTGCTTGAGAGGCCTCATGGGCCAGCTGGCAGCCCTCAGATTGACCAGTGATGCTGGAAGTAGTTCTGGTCCAATTCCCGGTCTGTTCCGTACAACTCTCTGCATCCACTGAGCGCTGAAGTCACTATCAATAAGGACTGAACTTTTTCGGATCGGATCAAAACTTTCCCTCCATTTCAGCAGAAAGCACCAGTTTTTTTTGTTTTGTTGGGAATTTTGGGTAGTGCACTGTTGGCTTCTGGGAAATGTAGTCCTTTTGAGTGTCTACAGTGTAAGCTTATTGAGAGAAAACTACAAAATGGTGGCGCCTGTCCGACGTATTATTTTCGTTCACTTTTTATCCCGTACTGTCCCAATCACGTGAGTAATATTAAAGTTGACAATTGTGTGTCGTGTACAATCTTACTTTGAAAAACCGTGAAAGAGCGCATCTGCAAAAGTCGAAACGCGAAGTAGCGAGGGGACTACTGTATACCTTTTTTTAAATTCCCTCTTTCTCTGTTTCACTGTCATGTTTTCTTAACAAATAAATGGTTGGATTTGTGGTAAAGATTGTAGCTTTGATAATCGTTTTATTTTACCACCATATTCTTTAAAACACTTATTTTTTGTTACATTTATCAAGCAAGTCAGCGATATTATTCATAGTCCTGCCTTTACAATGGAGATATTGCTACAAGTATGTTTATTCCAACAGGTGTTTGCCCATGAACTTGACAGCAGAGGACCTGGCTAGTGGTGTGCTGCGCGATAGAGTGAAAGTCGGTGCAAGCTTAGCTGACGTGGACCCCATGAACGTCGACACATCAGTGAGTGGAAAACCTACTAATTGTTAAATCAGCTTTTGGACAGATTCAGTCGTGTATCATTAAGATTGTGTAGCTTATTAACAAATATCTCTCCTGCAACACACAGCAGTCAGAGCAATGTCAGATTTGAAGAAGTGAGGAGAAATTTGCATGTGTGGAAACAAGCTAACAGCTACTCAGATTAGAGTAAGCACAGGCAATATGTCAAAATATATATCACAGTTTTTAGCATCAAATCAATTTGAGTTGTCGTAGATGGAGTTTCTCACAAGAACTCCCTAATTCTTTAAACTGAGATTACTTTACTTTGCTGTTCACTGCAGGTTAGATACTGACTGCTGAAATGTGCTCCACACAATTCCAGTTCAAGACTTTCATTTCACAACAATCAATGTGCATATTCTTCATTTAGGTGAGATTTGACAGCGTGGGCGGCCTCAGTCATCACATTCAGTCACTGAAGGAGATGGTGGTGTTCCCGCTGCTTTACCCCGAGATCTTCGAGAGGTTCAAGATTCAGCCTCCCAGGTGAGGATAACTCCCAAAATGTCTGCTCTGATAATGTTTTTGATTTAGTACTTTCTACCAAAATAGATGTAGAAATTAGTGAAGATTAGACGGAGCGTAAATTTGAGACAAAACGGTGAAAATATTTTAAATGCTTGCAGTTATAATAGATAAACAGGGGATTTGAAAAAACACAACTAATATGTTCATGAATCAGTGAGTAATTATCCCGTGAATCGTGGTCCCTTTTGTTTTTCTTTGTCTTATAGAGGGTGTTTGTTCTATGGCCCACCTGGAACAGGGAAAACCCTGGTTGCACGGGCGCTTGCCAATGAATGCAGTCAGGGAGACAGAAAGGTGTCTTTCTTTATGAGGAAAGGAGCCGACTGCCTCAGCAAGTGGGTGGGAGAGTCAGAACGGCAGCTACGCCTGCTCTTTGACCAGGTGAGTTACCTGGGATGGACTGTGGCGACGTCAAGGACGACTTTTGGACAATAAGGCTTCAGCCACTCAGTCTCAGCTAACTGTATAAAAAAATTAAAATATATGTTTCAGTTCTTGTTCATCTTGTGCACTGGATATTGTAATGCAATAAACATCCTTATGCCTTTTCATTTATTAAAATACAGTATACATACAGTATAAATAAAACTGAAATTCAGCCATCCTCTTAAAATAGTTGTGTGAAAGTTTATGAAGCATTCACACTATTGTGATCCAGTTTTCTTCAGTACGTTTTTCAGCATCTTTCTCGTTCCACAATTCTTTGCTATTTCACCAACTCGTTTCAAAACATTCAGCTCATTCAGAACAATCCTGCTATGACTTTTGGTATTGGTGCAACTTTAGTTTTTTGACATATTTAGCCTTTTCTGCCATTTTTTTTCCTCATATAAAATGAACTGAGCTCATTTTACATCCTTCAGAGCTTTAGATGTGTTTACATCCTTTTATTGCTGCTTTCACATTTAGTTCTGGTTCAGCTTCTTTCAGCTTCCTTGTGCAAATTTAAACATTTTTTCAGCTACTTTCAGCAGGTTTTTTTTCTGTTTTGTGCTCCTTTCAGACTCTTTCTGCTAACTAAAACATTTTTGTGCTTCTTCTAACTTCTTTCTGCTAATTTCAGCTTGTTATGCTCCTTTCAGCTAATTTCTGCAAGTGTCAGCTTTTTTCTATCATTTCAGCTTTTTTATGCTAATTAAGCTTTTTCAGCTAATTCCACATTTTTTGCTCTCATTTTAACTTTTTTCAGCCTAATTCATCTAAAATATGTTCTCCACTTCCTCCTTGTAATTTCAGATTCTTTCTGCTTTTTTAGCTACTTTTCAGCATTTTTAGTGCTAATTTAAGCTTTCTTTCCCCCAGATAATTTTAACTTTTTTGTGCTAATTTTTGCTTCTTTCAGCTTCATTGGGCAAACGTGTTCTTTCTGCTTTCTTCTGATAATTGAAGCTTGTTTTACCTTTTCAGCTACTTGTTTTTTTTTTAGCATTTTTAGCTAATTTTATCTATTTTCAGATAAATTCAAGTTTTTCTATGTAATTTTTGCTACTTTCAGCCTAATTAACTTCATTCTGCAAATTGTAACTCGTTATGCTAATTTCAGCTTTTTCTGCTATTTCAGCTACTTTTTAGCTGTTTTGTGCTAAATTAAGCATTTTCAGCGAATTCCACATTTTTAGCTCATATTAGCTCTTTCCATTTCCTTCTGGTAGTTTAAGCTTCTTTGTCTTTTCAGCTACTTTTCATCTTTTTGTGGTTGCTAATTTCAGCCTTTTTTTTTTTTAGCTAATGTCTTAATTTTTGTGCTAATTTCTGCTTATTTAAACCCAATTTAGCAAATATGTGTTTTTTTCTGTTTTCTTCTGCTTGTTCCTCCATTTCAGCATGTTTTTTTTTTTTAGCTAATTTCAGCAGTTTTTCAGCAAGTTCTTCTGAAATAAGCAGTCATTGCGTTTTCGCAGGAAATGCAATTTCTCTCATTTTGTTTGTTTTTCATTGTTTTAGATTTTGATTAAGGTTTTCTGTATGCTTTTAATTAGGCGTACCTGATGAGGCCATCCATAATTTTTTTTGATGAGATTGATGGTTTAGCTCCTGTTCGCTCCAGCAGGCAAGACCAGATACACAGGTGAGTCCAGTGTGTCCTAAAACATCTTAAACTTACCAGTGCTGAAACCTGCAGTAACCCTGTTGTGGAAAACCAGTTTGAAGATGAACTATTAACATTTAATATTATTTGATTGAAGGAAATTCAAGCCACGAGAAGTTTTTTCTTTATATAGCTGCCTTAATGGAGTTGTAGTAAACGGTTGATGTTTTTGTCCTCCACTCTTGGGTTACATATTTACAGACGGTGTTTGTACACTGTTTACAGAAGTAAGGAGTTGTTTATTCAGTTTGGGCTGACTCATCTCAACAATGTTGATCTTATCCTGTTACTGTTGTCCAGATCTGCACGTATGTGCGTGCTTGACAAAGATACTTTAGTTTGTACGTCTGTAAATTCAGGCAGTTTGTTTTAATTGCTGGCAGATATTTGATGCAGCTGAATTGTAAACAGCATGTTCTGCATTAATTTCCACCTTCTGCTCGACAGTTCCATTGTGTCCACACTGTTGGCCTTGATGGACGGCTTGGACAGTCTAGGGGAGATAGTTGTCATTGGTGCTACAAATAGACTTGACTCTATCGACCCAGCACTCAGGAGGCCTGGACGCTTTGATCGGGAGTTCCTTTTCAGCTTGCCGGACAAAAAGGTGAGGCTGAGAGAAACCTCAGAGCCATCATTCATCTTTGAAGCATTTTTGTTGATTTTACTGCAAATGTATTAAATAGATTTTTTTTTTTTTTGGAAATAATATAATCCAATTATAAATCTTTAAGAATTGCAGATAAAACCATCTATATGCAGATTCACCTTAAATACAGATAGTTCACAGAATCTAACTAAATAACTTGCAGCATGAATAAAGGGGCATAAAGAGGTCTTTGTGCACTCGGAAATGATTCTGTGGTCTCAAAATCCAATATTTGTAATCTGTTGGCTGGTGTTCGATAAATAAATGTCCTTTCATCATCTCTGTTTATTCAAATAAGCCACTCTGAGGACACAAGAAGATTTTTAACTGGTCTGTACTGGCACACAAACAGGCTTTCCCAGGTAACAAAAGTTACATGCTTAGAGTAGGGCTGGGCGATATGGACTAAAATTAATATCTCAATATTTTTAAGATAAATTGCGATATACGATATATATATCTCAACATTTTTTCTTTCTTTCCGTAAAGTAATAACATAAATATATTTCTGAGTCAAACGTTGTCCCAGTTGTCACACAGATGCATTTATTAACAAACAGCTGTAACTGTACAAAATAAATGTCTAACAATAAACTATTTACATATATTAAATAATGATCCTCCCCAGCTGCACCGCCTTCACGACGTTGGTAAGCGTGTGTGAAGCGGCACGTGAGGGGCTGTGCTTGTATTCAGTGAGGGAGGAGGAGGTGCCGTGTGAAGGTGGCGGTGCAGACGGGCAGAAAAAGGAGAACTACACAGATTTTCAAGTCTTACAGTGAGAGGTAGCACGACATTAATAAACCAGTGTCTTGCCAAATCACTAAAGACACAGTCCTTAGCTTCTAACAAGATGGTTAACTTTAGCCGTCTTCTTCTGCAGCTGAGATTGGGACCGTGTCTTTAGTGATATAAGCTGCAGCTTTACCGCTCACTGTTCCTCTCATAAGGTGCAGCACGGCTAAATGAGTTTTGACCTGTGGTTTGTCTCAGGGAAGGAGGCTGAAGTCGACAGTTGGAGCTACAGCTTCACACACGCTTCATACTCCACTTATAGCGCTGTTTTAAATGGTGATTCGTAGAGCCGACCTTTTGTCGGGACTTGTTTTCGGCATTGTCTACGGAAAACATTTTTCTGCTGCTCATCTGACAATTTAAATTCAAACCATCTCCAAATAACAGCCGTTGATTTTTAAGCTGCTCTTCGATATCCTTTCCCGCATTTCCTTGCTGTGCTAAAGTCCCGCCCACCTGGAGAAGCAGGAAGCAGGGGCAGCGCGCTCAGTGAGGGCCTGGGTTTGCATTCAGCGAGGGAGAAGGAGAGGTCGCGTGCAGTTGGTGCAGATGGGAGAAATCGAACTACACAGATTTTCAAGTTTAATAATACTCTATGGTTGTGATGGAGCCATTTTACCCGTCGTAAATCGTAATTTTCCAGCTTACAGACTCGGAGAAGGCCTAGGAGTTATGGAGTGCTGCTCCGTGCGCCTGCAGGCTCCTCTCTGAGCAGACAAAGCCACTAACTCTCACACATTAATTTAACATTAGTTACTGATAAACATCCGTAAACCTTTAGCAACATTCCCTAGACACCTGGGAGACTTGTCCTTTGTGCTGTGCATCAAGCTTCATAAATAAATGTTTTACTGTAGAAGCGGCTCACTGTAAGTGACTTCTGATGGAGCTTGTCTGATAGTTGCCCTATTTGATCACATAGTGAGATTATTGGCAACCGGAATCTAATCTGCAAATCATGGCTGATCAGTAATCTGATTGGAAACTTTGCTTTTGTACAAACCATCTCTTATTTATCCTGTAATCTGGTATGCACAGTTACCTTAAATTTATTTAATACAAGCCACATCTCCAAGTGTTATTCTGTGAACTTTATGAATATTAAAGTTACTAAAACGTATTTTAACTGTGGTGTTTAGTGTTATTTGTTTTCCATTTCTTTATGTAATAATTTAGTTTTTTGTCTCTTCTTTTTTTAAGGCCAGAAAACAAATTTTGGAGATCCACACCAGGGACTGGAATCCCAAACTGTCTGAGCCATTTCTAGATGAACTTGCAGAAAAATGTGTCGGTACGAGTCGTAAAACACTGAAATGAACGGAGCTCTAAGCTTCACGTCAAAACACAAGTGTTACTGTTTAACGATTGTCGTCTAGAAAATGTTATCAAGCTGCCACAAAGGGAGCAGTTAAAAGTTTTAATGACTCCAAAATGAGAACTAATTGATGTCTGCTTGTTCACGCGTCTTTCTCTCAGGCTACTGCGGCGCCGACATCAAAGCACTTTGCACAGAGGCAGCCTTGATGGCGCTGCGCCGCCGCTACCCCCAGATCTACGGCAGCAGCGTCAAACTGAAGCTGGATGTCACCTCCATCGTCCTGGGGCCCGGCGACTTCAGCAAGGCAATGAGGGCAATAGTCCCAGCCTCCCAGCGGGCCCTGGTTCCCCCGGGCCGAGCCCTGTCCCCCACCCTCAGGCCGCTGCTGGCCACCACTTTCTCCTTGGTGCTGAAAGCTCTTCTCCGAGTCTTCCCCCACGCTCAGTGTACCGACAGAGACAACACGCAAGGCAAGGATCCGCTAACGAACCAGCTGGATCGTTTGTTTTCCTGCACTCGTTTGCTGCTCCTCTCAAACTGAATCTTTTTTTATTCTTCCTCTCGCCATCCATCTTATTCATCACTCTCTTTTCCTGGTGGCATTTTATTCTATTTGATTATCCCCGTTTTTCCAAACTTCATCACCACGGTGCTTTGCGTTGCCCTCCCACACCGATCACGCCGTGTGCGTTCACCCCACTTCCATCTCGATGTTGCAGCACGCAGACCAGATAACTCATCGTTGTGTGAGCACTCCAGTAACGTGCACTCCAGTCAGCAGAGGAGCTTTTACAGCAGATTAGGCTTAATGGAGCACTTCACCAGCGGGACGTGATTTGTAGAAGCTGCACTTGTTGCACCAAAATATGACATTAGTTCTTTGCCATTGCTTTATGTCTTAATATATAACCTGATCATTTTGGTGAAAGACCTTTCTAATTATCAGGGAAAGATTTTTTTTTTTAATGCAAAGTTATTGTTTTAAGAAACTCTAGTGTTGTTCTGTAGATAATTTTCTCTAAGCAGTCCTCTCTTCTTTAGGCAGCGACAATCATCTATTTGAAGAGGACGTGTTCAGTGATGATGACAATGAGGATGGCTCTGCCTCCATATATGAAGTTCATCCTTCAGCATCCCCAAAGAGTCGGCATTCCTCTTCTGCAGTGCACAGACCCTTCCTCCACTTCTCCTCGTAAGTGCTGAGAAACGGCTTCATATGGGAAGTTTTCATAAACGTAGATTCTTGTAGAAGGCTGGAGGCAAACTCCAAACGTTTTTTCTGGAAACTCACAATGTGAATAGAGGAATGAAGGATAAATGTAATATATTAAAAAGGGACACAAAGGAACTTTTTTACAAGAAGATGTAATTTCCCTAAAAGCTGTTTTTATCTTCCAGAAATGTTTGTTAAATAACTTTCAGATAACTGGATGTTTCTTATGCAATCAGTAATGGGGATTATTATTATTATTTTTTGCTAATTTATTTTAACAAAGAAAAAAACTCCTTTTGATGTTTTATATTTTTCTATCTTACAAGTTGATTCATGTTAAAATGAACAATTTAAACTGCCTTGATGAAAACATGCTTTACTTTTAGTTTTTAAATTCTAGCTATGTGACCTTAAGGTTGTCTAAAAATGCTCGTTTTTTTTATTCATCATTTTAATTCTCTTATCCATTTATAGGGGAAAAAGTGTTTAATTTCAAATGTTCTTTACAAGAAATAAAACCTTAAAGTTTCAGCTTTGAGTAACTGAGACAAGTCAAACCAGCAGTTAAAACAGTAAAGTTTGTCTTTAACATTTACACTGAAACAACATTTATAGTGAAAAACCTTCACACGCTGGTGAAGATTCTCAGATATCCAGGACATGGAAAATTCAAAAAAAGTTCAAGACAAAAACAACTGGACTTTATTTGTAACGGAAGACGTTTCACTTCTCATCCGAGGAGCTTTCTCCTTGATGTGGGAGCGCCGCAGCATGGCCGCACTGACGGGAGCTCCGCCTTGACTCCATCTTTTTTTGTTCCTGTTGTTCTTGTTTTAACCCATTGTTGGATTTTTTTACCTGGATGATTGAGTATGAACCTTGATTTCTTGTTTTAACCTCTAAATTTTTTTTGCACCTACACTGCACACCCACGCTAAGAGTACGACCGCGACACACTTGTGGAGTTTTGTGTGTCGCTGCCTTGACATCATGCCATCCTGCCATCATGGTTCAGTTCCTGGCCCCCCTCCAGCCTCGGGCTCAGGCTTCGGCTTGTCATGGCGGTGTGTCTCCATGATCCTCCATCTGCCTGCACGGACTGAACTCTACGGACCCGTTCGGTTCCGTGGGGAAACCTTGGATGTTCTCTGTCTGCTGGACCCAGTTCTGGACTGCAGTCTGTGAGGGCAGCTGCTGTGGTCGTTGTTACCATCAAGCTGCTGACTGGACCTGCTGACAAGACCTGCTGCTAACAGAACAGAACCATGATGTTGAAAGAACCTCACTGCTAACCAAATCACACTGTAGATGTTTTTCTTTTTCAACTTTGATGCCTTGTTTTTTAGTATGTTAGTAGTATTTTTTACCATGTTGTTTTTAGTATGTTAGTACAATTTTTTAGTATCCAACATTTTTCAGTCGGGTCATCTGGACGGTTTCTTTTTTTGTGCTGAAATGTTTCGCCTTTGATCCAGAAGGCTTCATCAGTCAAGGAAACACACAACAAAACAGATTCTTCCCCCAACAGTTTACTCCAAAGTGGAACAAACCAGTTCTGTTGGTGACAAGATGGTCTCTCAAAGAGAGAAACGAATGTGACGTTTAAAAAAAATAGTTTTTTAGTATGTTAGTAGTATTTTTAGTATGTTAGTAGTATTTTTAGTATGTTAGTAGTATTTTTTTAGTATGTTTGTTTTAGTATATTAGTAGTATTTTTAGTATGTTAGTAGTATTTTTAGTATGTTAGTAGTATTTTTTTAGTATGTTTGTTTTAGTATGTTAGTAGTATTTTTTAGTATGTTTTTTAGTATGTTAGTAATATTTTTAGTATTTTTAGTATTTTTTTTGTATTTTTTCTGCATGCTTTGGTATTCCTTTTTTTGTTGTTGTTTTTGTTTGTTTTGGCGAGTTGAGTCGGTTCTGTTGAGACGGTTCTTCTCGTCCTAAGCATTTCATTGCATTGTTGACCTTGGGCTGATTTTCTATATAACAAATAAACCTAACCTGAACCATAGATTTACTACTTTCATACAAAGCCGCATTAGTTTGACTAAAAGTGTGATCAAGTTCTAATTTGCTTCCAGTTCGGCGCTCCGACAGCCCACAGCCTACCGTCCTCGCCTGCTGCTGGCGGGGATGCCCGGTTCTGGACAGAGCTCCCACTTGGCTCCTGCCTTGCTCCACCACCTGGACAAGCTACCAGTGCACTGCCTGGACTTGCCCACTCTGTACTCCGTCAGTGCCAAGACACCAGAGGAGTCCTGCGCTCAGGTAGAAGACTACACGTTGAAGATGCACATATGTCTCTGTGAAGATTTAAAAAATGTTGCAAAATCACTCAAACATACTGAAATCTTGAGCACTGTGTTTGTAGGTTTTCCGTGAAGCTCGTCGCAGCGTGCCCAGCGTGGTGTACATGCCTCATATCTCAGAGTGGTGGGACACGGTGGGTGACACTGTGAAGAGCAGCTTCCTCACCCTGCTGCACGATGTGCCCTCTTTCAGCCCCATCCTCATCCTCGCAACTGCTGAGACTCCGTACTCTAAGCTGTCCAATGAGGTAGGCACTCGTGTTTATGTACAAAAACGGTTTGCATAAAGCCACGTTTATTTAATTTGTATATTTTTATTCTCAATGGCAACTGATCTATACTCCTGTCTTCTCCAAAGCATGGATTCAGAAATGTATTTTGCCTTTTGAACCCTTAGCACACCCCATGCAGTACGCTACAGTTAATTTCTGTCTCCTGCTCTTTCTTTCTGTCTCTACACACAGCACGTTTATCATTTATGCTCAAAAGTAAGTTGTTTTTTTTGGTTTGTTTTTGGGGGTGTAAGATTGACTATTTAGACTTAGGGTTACTGTATGTACATTTTATTCCAAACTATTACCAGGAAAAACATGGTGTTCTTCTGAAGGCACGGTAATTTGCGATTTATTCATCAAACCTAATTATTGCAAAACACCCAAAAGTGCCCCCCTCTGCTGAAGACCAGGAAGGATGAACTCTTCATTTTGACTGTAGATTTAGTGAGTTTTCTAATGACCAAGCAGCAGCACGTAGCTGACTCGAACGTGAATAAAAGTCTGAGAGAAAAACTCATTCCATGACGATGTGAAGTGAATCAGGATACATCTGGGAAGTAGGTTGCAAAGTATTCATCAGCGACCTGTGTTTAGACTGCTACAACTTTGTTTGGATTCTTTGGACAACAAGGTCATCTCCCCCAACAAGGATTTTTTTTTTCCAATTCTTCTTTGGCTCCATCACCTTTTTGTTGCAGTTCATCCCGTTGCCCATCTTCCTCCCTCTGTATGCTGACCCCTTCCTTTTATCGGGTTTCTTTTTTGACTTCTTCATTTTCTCTAAAAGCCTACCCACTCTCAGACCTCCAGCTGTGTGCTACACTGCAGTGAGGAGATTGAGTTTAAGGAAGCAAAAAGAAAAGATTGGAGGAGAAAAGACATGGGAAATAAAGGGCAGTAGGGTCGTCTCAAGTCAAACAACAGGAGGGGTTTAATTAATCTTAGGGCTCGCTGTTTAATGTCTCGACCCTAAGGCCACTCGAATATCGATACGCCTGCGCGGGTTAAAGACTTTCTATCTGTTTCAGCCGGTGCATGTGTCTGGCATTTTGGCAAAGCCTTTAACGATGGCCATAGTCCAAGAAAGGTTAGTCTCCTGGGATGATTCGTCCTGCTTTTGGATCATTCAGACTGAAGCAACCAGGCTGTTGCACTCACTGAGGCCCAGCCTCTTTAGCACCCTCAGTCATTCCAGTTTCAGCTTTTCTTGTATTAATTTATTTCTAATGGTCATTTGAACTTTGTGGTTTATACCACCCCTTGCTGCAATGTTAGTTTTTTTTTTAACATTTGAAGACCTGCAATATTCTCACTTTCTATGCTTAATTAAATACATGTGTGGGTTTAAAGTCACGGCCAGCTCATTATCCATTAACTGCACCATTAAACACAATCATTTCATTTTGGGTTGTCCAAATTAAAAAAGTTTAAAGAAAATAACAACGTTCAGTCAGGTCATCTGGACGTTTTTTTTTTTTTTTTTCTGAGACGTTTCGTCCTTCATCCAAAGGATTTCATCAATCCGAGAAGCCACAAACAGCAAACTGTTTTTTTTTTTTTTTTTCCACTATGGGAGTGTGCTGCTTGTGGGACTCAGTTTGTTTGGGGCTCCTCAGACTGATGAAATCCTTTGGATGAAGAACGAAACGTCTCAACAAATAAAAGAAACCGCCCAGATGACCAGACTTGACATTGTGGGATTTTTACCTGGATTATTGAACATGGACTTTGATGTTGAAAGAAAATAGATGTTTAAGGAAACGCTAAGTTTGGTTTGATGCACAAAGTTTTCTGAATTGTCAGGATGAGTTTAAGTCTCATGAAGTAGGTTGTGCGTTCAGCAGTTTTGCAGTTTTTGCAACTGATGACTGTGATGAAATAATCAGTCTTAGTTGGAGGATCTGTCATATTTAAGTACGGGTATGCCACAATCTACGGTGTTTTTAGTTTGGTTTGTCATCCGATGCTCTTGTTTCACACTCCAACCTAATGACAGCTGTTGCCTCAGCTCCGAACCCCGATGGGGCACATGCAGCATCCTTCCACAACCAAACAGACTCTACAGGCTTTGGTCCAGCTCCATGGCTGCTCTCCCTCCCTCAGCAGCTGCTCAGTCTGCTTCGATTTTCTATGAGTGAGCAACGAAAATGAAATGAATTGATCATTTGATTGTGGGAGTGATACACCTGTGATTGAAGAGTTTCATGGTGTTCTGTTTAATTATATTTCTAATGTGTACTTTTTTAAATGGATCTGACTCTAAGTGGCCTTCGAATGTGAATCTGTTCTTCAAAATACAACCTTTAGATTCAGTCCTCATGCAGGAACTTCATCTCTGTCTGTGTGCGCTTAAATTTAAAACTTCAGCCTATATTTAGTTGGTTTTGGGTGACTGGGTCAAGAAGCTTGGAAAACTGATACTGCCATATTTCTGCACAGCACCATCCTCCAGCTCCAAATTGTGGACTCCAATCCATTTCCAAATGGAACATATAATCCCTCCTGTGTTATGGGGTCTCTTCTCAGTCGTTTCTGCCCAAAGATAATTTTATGGGATGGAGCTTGAAGGCCCAAAAACCTTTTTCTTATTCGTCTCACAGTGAGGTAGCAGTGGTTCATCTGTAAGCACTTTCAGGTTACCGACCTTCAATTTAAAAGCTGAACTGTATGTTGTGGACATAATTTGTAAATTTCCTCACAAATATTTTGCATTTTAAAAGAAATCTATAGTAGAAAGTAGAAAATATAGTTTCAGAGAATAACATCTCTGTGTTTACTTAATATAGGGTAAAAGTAGGAGAACATAACGCATTTATCAGTACATTTACGCATGCATTTTATATTTCTGTGCTTGTTTTTTTTTAAAAGGAGCAATTAAAGTGCAGCGTTTGATATTTCCTGGTTTCTTTTAGAGTGAATTGTTTCTGACGAGAAATTATCCATAAACAAATGTTCCAATTTGGTTGGCAGCAAAATTTAAGTATTTTTGGAATTCTTACTTTATCCTCCGTAGTCTTCCTGCTTTTTTAAACTATCATCTATCAACACAGCTCTTTTATTTCCTGTGCCAACACCCCGGCAGCCTCTTATGGCGGTGAGAATGTTTACCCGCTGTGCGCTGCATACATTTGAGCTGCCTCGCTCCAGTGTATGCAGCATTCCTGCTATTTTACCTTACCCATATTTCATCCTGAAGGGAGAGGGCACATAAACCAGAGGGCAAGAACAAAACTGTGAACAGTAGGAAGCCAAAGCAGAGAGAACAAACATGCCATGAATAAGGCTCAGGATCGATGAGAATGACAGATGGGGCAGAAAGTTTGTGCTTAGTCAGCAGCACAGCTTCCAGGCAGGGAGTTTCCTTTAGCTCCGTCATATGATTCAGCTGGGGTCTGTAAAACAGCTCCCAGTATAAACTGATTCCAGAAATGAAGGCTGCTTGTTTAGCCTTGTAGTACTGTCTAATTGTTACACTGTGTTGCTGCATGTAAGGTGATTAGAAGGGTTAATGAAAAGATTAGAGGTGGTTTAAAACACTTCTTTCAACCACTGGGCACAAAACACGTCAGATGAGTTACGTTTAAGATATCTGTAGTGAAATAATCTTATTGTTTATTTTCTTAGCCTGACATTTACTCCTAATAATAACCCAACTATATTATGAAAAATCATGTAAAAACCAGATAAATGTATGGATTTTGTTTTTCAAAATACATTTTTATCCCACCATGAGATTTATTTTTATATCAATTAAGAATGCACGATATTGGATTTTTGGTCAATTATTCGATATGTCAATATGTTAAAACTCATTTGGCCGATAACTGATCCGATATCGATGTGATATACAGATGCCAAATAGGGGACTGACAATGATGTAACACTTCAACTTGGGTTATGTTTGATGTCCCAATTTATTTATGACGTTTACCTCAAACACAATAACATTCGAACAGTGCAAATTTGTAATTTTTCACAAATCTAAACTCAACCTGTTCACAAGCGACAAGTGAAAAGTGCATAAGTAGTAGTGCTTGGTGCATTTTGACTTCTTCTCCGCCATGATCAGATCAGGTAGGCGCTCGTGACATCCTTGGCATCCTGGTCACTGGATTGTCACAATAACAGCACCTTTTACAATATAAGAGTTATTTTGATGGAATGGCTGCTGTCCGATATTTAACTTTAACGCTAATATCGGCCGATACCATGCCGATAATATCGTGCATCCCTAATATCAATTTAAACTTTGACTTTACTGTACTTTTATTAAGCTTCATATTCCAGATGTATTTGAATTTATAGTACTTAAACAAAGTTAACAATACATTTCCAGTATCATTTTTGTTGTTGTTGCTGTTACAACTTGAAAATTTGAGTCTTATGGTTCAATGGTTGAGGATTTTTTTTTAAATACCTTTTTAATTTTAACAGAAATAAATTGCTCGCAGACTCAGTATATCTAAATCATGAGCCGTGCCCACGTTCTCAGTACTAAATCGAGTTTGTTCCTTGTGAGTTGGACTCCACTAGAACTGCTCTCGTCTCTGATCTTGTTTGTGGGTCTCATAGACAGGATCTCAAAGCTTAGTCATGAGAGTAGTGACTTTATTCTCTTATCTCCTGTTTTGCAGATGATGTGGTTCTGTTGTTGTCTTTAGTCCCTGACCTTCAGCATGCACTGGGGGGTTTACAGCTGAGTGTGAAGCAGCTGATTTGGCTGCTTTAAGTCTGAGGCCATGGTTCTCAACCAGATAAGGGAGGAATGTCCTTCTGAGTCAGGGGTGAGTCTTTGTCTCAGGTAAAGGAGTTCAGGTATCTGAGTCTTGTTCATGAGTGATGGTAGGATGGAGCAGGACTGATGGATCGATGCTTTATCTGCAGTAATGAGAGGACATTGCTCTCCTCTGTTATGGTAAAGAGGCTGAGCTAAAAGGCAAAGTTCTTGATTATTTGGTAAATCTATCTTCCAACCTTCTCAAGGTTAAGGTTTCTTTATTACCATTCGCTTTGCATGTGGTGGAACAAAATTGTGTACACAGGCTTTTGCTAAGTTTGATCTTGATCAAAAACAAAATACTGGATTCAAGAGGCTGAAATGAGCTTTGTCTGTAAGGTAGCTGTGCCCAGCCTTAAGGGCCCTGCATACTAGATCTGAAGCGCCAAAACCGGCCCTCGTTGACATAGCTGCGTGATGAATATTGCGTCATTTTGTTCTCAGAGCACCTTCGCTCGCCCCTTCTCAACACAAGGCCTGGGCCAAACGTTTTTTCACAGGAGTATGCACCAAATATTGTGTGATTGGTCAAACGTTTCCAGGCGTGTTCGTCAATGCTGAAATGCGCTCAGACATTCAGCTGTATGACTCTTCAAACACCAAATTACTGTAGTCAAATGGCAAAAAACTCCTGGATGGTTATCGTGCAGACATCATCTATGAAGGAATCTGTCTGCTGAAAAGTGTAGGGCTTTATTCATGATAGATTTGTGGCCAAAGGGCAGATACCGGGAGAGTGGAGACTCTGGAGGGAAGAAACCTGTGTGTGGTGGTGTATATTGCAGTAGGAGGTGTTTGCCAGGAGCTCGGCACCTGTGTTTCACGGACTATGATAGGTGTGTGCAAAAATGAATATCCCGCAACCACGTGACTGCAAGTCGACTGTTCGGCTTCAGATGTATCATACTGGGCTTTTTAGAGATGGGGTGAGATGTCTACCATTAGTGAAATGCTTGGAGTAGAGTTGCTGCGTCTCTCCATTAAAAAGAGTTGACTGAACTGTTTCGAGCATTTGATTAGGAGGTTTTTCTGGTTTCTCTCACTTGAAAGAGACTCTGGGGCAGACCCACAACTTTTTGATGGGATTATGTATCCTAGCTTACCTGAAAATGTCTTGGAGGAGCTGTAGAGTGTCTCTGTGGAGAGGGATTTCTGGGCTATGCTCCGAGACCTGTTGCTTCTACAACCAAACCATGGATGGATGGAGGAATGTGTGGATGGAGAGTGGAGCTTCCAACTTATTAAAACAAATCCAATCAGTTGCACAAATATTCCCAACTTGGGCAAAAATATTGCGTTTGGTTTAATTTGTGTGAACTCCCTCAGTATTTAAGTACGTCTGTGACTTCTGCTGCAGGTGGTTGATGAGGCAAGCTGGCCTCCACATAAAGAGCAATGATCCAGATCAATGAGATGCATTAGTGAGAACGGTTGTTTTTTGTAGATGAACGGCTGAGTGTTTGTTGGTATTATTAGGTTCGAATATTCAAAGCTAATGTTATTTATTGATAAAGCAGGCAGACAGACTGTCATCTTATAATGCAGGATCTCTTGTGGGTACTTAAATGGAGGTACAAGACACACTGCTTGATTTGTCTTTTGTATCTTACGATCTGTTCTGTGCTCTGTGGTGCATTTGTGTTAAAAAAAGAAATGCATCAGTTAAATTAATATCCACAGGTAGGGTAATCAAAACTCTGTGCATCTGATGTGTCTGCTCTCGTTTTTACTGTGGGATTTAATTTTTAAGCCCCACATAGATCAAACTGCTGTTTAGTCTTATGTTTTACAGTCAAACAGAAATTACCATATATTTTTTTGTAAATTTCACTAGACTTTGTGTGTCTTTTCTTAATTGACACATCTTTGCTGTGCTTTTTGTGTCAACTCCCCTGCAGCTTTTTATTAGGAGAGAAAGGCCTTCCAGCAGTGAGCAGCACATATTTCAGATGTCTTGCACGTAATTTGAATTATTTGGCCCTGATTCAACAATGCTGTCTTTATACTTTGAAAATAACAAATGTTACCTTTAGATTAAGATAAGAACAGCGTTAGGACAGGCTGAAGTCGCTGGAGTCCAGATGTAAACAAAGATTACTCCTCATCTGTAATATAAGCATTCAGTTTTTACCTACAATGCAAATGTTTTAGATATCAGAGAGGAAAAAGGGTTGTTGTTTAGAATGATTTGTTGTCTTTATCATCATCATATTTTGCTGTTTTACGCTGAATATTCTTTTGAGAAAGACTGAAAAAAAAATTGTGAGATGGTACTTGTCACAAAATTGTTTTATTGTATCAGTTTTCCTTTATTTATTTATTTTTTTAAACATCAACTCTGATCATTTTATGTACACATGATTGCCCTAAATCAGTGGTTCCCAACCGTAGTCCTTGAGGAACACCATCCTGCATGTTTTAGTTGTTTCCATGCTTTGACACACCTGTTTTGAGTGAATGCATGAGTAACAGGCTTCTGCAGAACTTGAGAAAGTTATTAAATCACTGAATCGGGTGTGTTGGAGCAGAGAAACAATGAAACCATGCAGGGTAGTGTTTCTCGAGGACCAGAGTTGGGAACCACTGTCCTAAAAAGCCTATGATTTTTAATCCAGGCATCACTAAAACTTAATAGTATTAGCCAATTTTTCCCTGATAACATTATTTTTCTCATTTATTACGGCTATAAGAATATGCATAGTTTAGGTTGTTTGCTCTGTAGTAATAAAGGTTGGAGTCAGACTGGTTAAAATACCAATTTTCCATTATATTTTGGTTATTAGTTATATGGACATGTACAGATTTACTTGCTTGTTAAGTCCAGCACTTGGTTTCTGCTGTGCTCAGTTTAGCTTTAGCTTAATAATATTAGTTGCCAACAAAGACCCTTACATTGCAACCGTAACAATTAAATTGAAGAATGTCTTTTTTGAGCATGTAACGTATAACAAATATAACAAGTACTGATAAATAATTTTATTAATACCCCATTTATCTTTGTTTTTTTTAAATACAGGTGCGAAGTGTATTTCAGAGGACCTATGAGGAGGTGGTAACGCTGTGCCCTCCAGGAGAAGAGGAGAGGAGGAACTTCTTTTCTGATCTGCTGTTGATTCAAGCAGCTAGACCGCCGCCTTGCCCCAGGAACACAAGTACCTGATCTGTTTCTTACCTCATACACACGCTGAGTGAACCACTTGTTAGTTTTTACCATACCTGCAAACTTGTCGCTTTCTGGTGAAATATGCCGATTTCAAACTAAAATATGTCATTTACGTTAATTGTGTAGATCTGAAAAGTTTTTGTTTTTGGGTGGGGTGGGGGTGGGGGGGTGTCTCAGAGGCGTAGTGGATGGCATTATTTCCCTTTAAGAAAAGGGAAACAGTGTTCCTCCTCGGGCATTTTGCTTAGCAGGGTGCTCATCTCTTTGGGGGGTTTTGTCGACGGGGTGGGGGGAGGAGACACCTCCATGTTACACACTGGCTTACCGCTATGATAGTGATGTCAGCTGATGACCGGTGGCGCACGCGCAGGGGGCGGGGTTTAGGATGTGTGAGAGAAGCGGAGCGTTGCGTCTGTAGCATCTTAGCTAGCGCGTCTGTGTTGTGCGCCCGTAGTTTAGCATGTCAACGTTTGAACAATGTGTCTGCCACATACACTGAGATTTGAAAAGTCCAGCTGATGGTGTTCTAGAGAACACCTTGAAGGAGAAAGATGGTGATAAGGAGAAAGAAACCAAGTAACACAAGTTTTCTGGAAAGTAAAATTGGTAAAATCGGTACAGTATGAGGAAGGAATAGTGGAAAGGAGACGATGGGAGAAGGAGATGGATGTTATTCCAAGTGGATTGTGAAGGAAACAGGAATCAAAGTTATGAAGTGTAGAAATTATGGCACCAAGGTAGGAAGGAACCTGTAAATTATTTTGTTTTCATCATTAGTTACATTTGGTTTAATGATTACTTGTAGGTTGACAAAACTGACTGAATATGTTTTTTTTGTGCTTGGCATAGTGTAATGATGCCAGATCATTTTCTGTTACGAGTCTATCACTATGTCAGAAAACAGTAAAAAGTCCCCTAAATTCACTGCTGGTGGTTATTAAAATGTTCGTTTGGTAAAGTTAATATTCTTATTTTTAAACATGCTGCTGAGTGTCACCATTGCTTAGGACAATGGCATGTTGTGTTACAAAAGAAACTACGTAAATAAAAAGTTAACAAAATAAAAGTCAAGTGCACCCCTAGTGTCATTGTTTGTGATAAATTGTGTCACATTAATTTCATTATCTTAGCCATAGGAGTGAGTTTAAAAACAGGGTGATGCAGATATGGACTATGAGGTGTCTCTAAAATATCTTGATGCATGCGCAATAATTTCAACAATTATTATTATTTTTTTAATCCATCTAGAGCACCTGACTTAATTTTGTTAGATCTCTTTAAAGTAATTATTGAATCGTATTTACATGTGTAGGTCAACATAGATGTTCAACAACCTGTTAAAATACACCAGAATGCAGGAAATGGCATCTACTTTATTCAAAATTTTCTGGGGGAGGACCCCCCGGACCTCCCACATAACAAATACTTCTAATGCCAATGGGCATGAAAGAGGCACATGGACAAGCACCAGAGGCCCTTAAAAGTCTTGTCCTGACCAAAAAATTTTAAGAAATTTGTTTTTGCTGTTAGCAAAGTGCTCTGCTGTATTTGGTCTCTCTGGTTGGTTTGCTGCTGTTGTTGTTTATTTGTTTATTTTTTGATTGACTCCATCTTTCCTGTGTATGTCCCAATTAATTTAGGATATGTTAGTACGTCTTTTTTTACCCGAAGCATCTTGTCTTTTTCCCTAATTTTCTTCTTGGAGTGTACCAGAATGCTTCATTTACCATACATGTTAAAAATCACAAGGCTTGTCACGTTTTTTCATCCGTCTTGAGTTTGCAGGTATGTTTTCCTATCAGTGTTAGAGGGCAGTATGTACGTTTTCTGTCCCAACTCCCAGTTCTGGCTCAATGTTTCTTGCTTTTTTTTTTAGATATCTGGATCAAGTATTGAGGTAGAAGAGCAGATGTGGGTCTCAAAATCCCTCTGGCTTTGCATCAGTTTGGAAATTTATGTAAAATGTTTGTGTTCAGAACTTTTCTCATCTTTATATAGAGCAAAGAAACTGTCATTGCAAGGTAATTTTGGCGTTTAACGGATAGCTGAAGATTTTACATGAAACTATGGAATCCACACTTCTCAGTCTCCTGCATTAAAATTAGTCTTTGCCCCACCACAATTGCGCCCCGACTTCATTTTTCATTGACTTTTTGTCATTGCTCCCACCGTTTTCTGTTCCAGTTCAGCAGAAACGAACGGTCCACATGGGCTTTTAACTGGAAACGGTGCCCAGCGTTCATCTGCTGATTCCTCACTGATGTAAGACAGGAGTCCACCGATGTAGTTGCTCTGTGCTCTGCAGGGGCGTCTGGCTTACTAAGACAGCCGTCTGACCTCCAGTGGAGAAGCCAGCAGAACAGGCATAGAGGAGAATTGCTATGAGAGGGCCCAGCTGCGATTAGCTATAATTAGAATCAGGATTGCTGCTAGTGAGTGAAGCACCCTTAGGTGCTGTAGACTCTTCCTAATGATGTCGGCACATGCTTTGGGCAAGCAGTGGTATCTTGGGAGAGGAGTAAGGGATATATGCTTGCCATTCTTTATCACCCTGCCATTGGCCGGGGGCAATTCCTTAGTGAATTTTAAAACCTGTGTTTCTGAAGTGCACCTTATTTCTTTTTTTCCCTTTTCTTTCCCCAAGCTAAAATCCTCTTAAGTGTTTTTTTTTTTTTTTTTTGTCTCTGGGGTCAGTTTCAAAAGTCTTACAGTTTGAAAATGCAGTGTTTGGGGTAAAAAAAACGAGATGGGGTTTTATTTTCAACTTTATTGTTCATGGCTTGTTATTGTGAATTCACCTGCAACTGAAATTACATCATTTTTGGGTTGTTTGAACTGAAAATAGTTTTCTTCTCCTACATATCTCTTAATGTTTTTTTTTAAGTGAAGATTTGTTTTCTTTTGAACTGTGGTCATGTAGAGTTATGTTGAGCAGACATTATCCTACCTGCAGCAGACTGCAGTCGGAGCGATCTCACTGTGGAAAATCAATGTTTTTCTGAAAGAGTAAAGCTTCATTCACGTCTTCAGTTACAAATAAAGTCCAGTTGTTTTTGTTTTTTACCTTTTTTTTGGGTTCATTCAAGAGTAGCTTGTTTGAATTTTTCATCTAAAACAAGCTTGAGCAAACGCAACATTAAATGTTGTTCAAGTCAATTTCATGGTCATTTTCATCACATGAGGTGGAATGAAATTATGCACACAGGGTCCCAGTTACATCCAACAACAGCAACAATTTAAAGTGTAAAAAGAAACGGTAATAAGGATCTAAGATTAAGATATATGCCAAACGAACACCAAACAGCATGCCAAAAGATCTACGATATATGCTAAACACTAATAATGCAAAGCAATACGACGTAATGACAGTAGCTCCAACATGAGTCTGTATTGAGCAGATGGGGACTTTTACACCTTGTTTCCTTTGCAAACGTGTCTTTGTTGTCACTGTTTTCTCAGTTGAATGTTTAGTGCTATAGGAAATTGCATGCACCAAGGCAGCTAACTTGATCCAGCTGCAAATCATCTGTAATTTATTGTTCTTCCCGTCTAATTTCAAAACAACTACGGACACTAAAACTGTTGGATTAACAAAGTGAAGACCGTGTTCTTGTTTCAAAGGAAACACACCATTGATTAGAGAGACAGAAAAACTCCTGGCGGATTCGGACAGATGTTCTTTATTCGATAAAATAATAGCAGTGTAATAAATTCAATATTGACAGGGTTTACAAAACTGAACAAAGTAGTTGTTTAAACTGCTTTGAATGTTTTAAGTTAAACATGTTTAAGATGGGGGAACATATTACTTTTATGTTAAACTCCTAATCAGGACTGATCCCTGATTCCACAAACTGAGTTCACTCTGCTGTCTACTGCAGGTAGGATACTAATTACTCCCACATAACTCCACTTACCCATAGCTTTTAAACAACTGCCAGGAAATGCAACAAACATGCTAACACAAGTTGTCAACATAGTAAAGTGCTGACCTTTGTGTTTTTCTTTTATTTGCTAACAGAGAGGTGTGAAGAAGTGCTGCCAGTTGCAGAGCCTCCCGCCTCCCGGGTCCTGTCAGCAGAGGAGCAGCGCCGACTAGCTGAACAGGAAGAAAACACTTTGCGGGAGCTCAGACTCTTTCTCAGGGAAGTGACCAAACGCCTGGCCACTGACAAACGCTTCAACATCTTCAGCAAGCCAGTTGACATTGAGGAGGTGAAGTGGAAAAGATCCTCTGAGGGATTGTTTTTATCAACAGTTTGACTAAAATGGTTTCAGCTGTTTTATTAAAATGAGCTTTTTATGTTTTGTTAGGTGTCGGACTACCTGGAGGTGATTAGGCAGCCCATGGACCTATCCACTGTCATGACAAAGATCGACACCCAGAAGTACTTGACAGCCAAGGATTTCCTGGTGGACATTGACCTCATTTGCAGCAATGCTTTAGAATACAATCCTGACAAGGATCCTGGAGGTATGGACCACACTACTTGACATGCTCTTAAAATACACAAACTACTCTTCTTGCATTTATATTCAGCACACGCATGAAAAGCTTAAGACGCATGTCTTTGAAAAAGTTTTGAAAATTGTCTAAATTATTATAATTAAAATACTTTCCTGGGAAGTAAAGCTTTGCTGTGGTTTTGTAGCGTTATGGGAATAATTGCCATAATTAAACAAACGACTCAAAGTTTAACAGCTGAAAGTTTTATTAGAACAAGCATAATATGGTTTCCCAGGGTTTGAACGGTTAGTGTCTCTGACAGGAACAACCATACTTACATTTTCCAAGTTATCTTTATGGTGGAAGCAGAAAATAAAATTACGCTCTGAACCTCATAAATGATCATGTTTTTATAACGTTGGTACATTTTGACTCCAAGCAGGTTTCTCTGGGACACTTTAGCCTCGACTATTAAAAAACAAAAAAAACACAAACGTATTAAAATAAATTTGCACCAACATTCTTAGCACTTTTTATTGCATGAAATAAAAATAAAAACATTCTTATAGTTTTAGTTTGATTTTGTTCCATTCTGCATGGACCATGTTCTTCGAAGCACCCGTTCTAATGTTCTCTCATCTCTGGGCACCTTTTATCAAAAACTTTAGCACAAAGGAGCATTTTTAGTTTGGTAAATAGCCACACGCATCTTTTTGACTTGCACTGACCTTGATGTTGACTTAAAAGTTAAAGCACAAATAATTTATGAAAATACAAATAATTGAGAATGAATGAAAAGAAACAAAAAAATTAATTAAACCTGCGTTGTTTCCCCAAAAATTAATTTGTTGCAGGTCTGTCGGGACTGAACTATCCAAATAAATAACATTGTAACTTTTGTGTAAAACATGGTTTTATCTTTTTAATTATTATTATATTATATTTACAAACAACTACCGGTATATAGAACTTAGAATTCACCTCTTTTTTCCATTTTATTTTAACGTTAAATTCTTGACTAAAATTAAAAATGTTCTTTGTGAATCATCATTTTATGACCGCTCATGACAAAGGGCTTCCAGACAGTAAAAATATTTTATTCCTGTTTCAAAATTCAAATGGAGCGCAGAGTGCAAACCCCCTGCTGATAGCATTTCTACAGTGTAATTCAAGCTTTGCAGCTGAGGAAGACAACGTGACAATTTAATTGCATATCTTGTAATCTGAACCGCTTTCCTTTTTCCTTATCTTTGTCCACACCTCAGTAGCTTTTTTCCAAGCATAAAACAAGCTTCGTAATGAGTGCTGAAACTGAAAGATGCACGAATAGCCCTGTTTTCAGCAGATTTGGGAAACATCCATCCATCTATTTTCTTCCGCTTATCTGGGGTCAGGTCGCGGGTGTAGCAGCTTAAGTAGGGAGGCCCAGACTTCCCTCTCCCCAGCCACTTGGTCCAGCTCCTCCGGGGGAACCCCGAGGCGTTCCCAGGCCAGCTGAGAAACATAGTCCCTCCAGCGTGTCCTGGGTCTTCCTCTGGGTCTCCTCCTGGTGGGACATGTCTGGAACACCTCACCAGGGAGGCGTCCAGGAGGCATCCTAACCAGATGCCCGAGCCACCTCAACTGGCTCCTCTCGACGTGGAGAAGCAGCGGCTCTACTCTGAGTCCCTCCCGGATGATCGAGCTTCTCACCCTGTCTCTAAGGGAGAGCCTAGACACCCTGCGGAGAAAACTCATTTTGGCCGCTTGTATCTGTGATCTCGTTCTTTCGGTCACAACCCAAAGCTCATGACCATAGATGAGGGTAGGAACGTAGATCGATCGGTAAATTGAGAGCTTTGTCTTTTGACTCAGCTCTCTCTTCACCAAGACAGACCGGTACAGCGCCCACATCACTGCAAACACCTCACCTATCTGCCTATCTGCTCTCTCGCTCCATTTTTCCCTCATTCGTGAACAAGACCCCAAGATACTTAAACACCTCCACTCGGGGCAGGGCCTCCTCCCCGACCTGGAGAGGACACTCGAACCTTTTCCGGCTCAAGACCATGGCTTCAGATTCCTCATCCCGGCCACGTCACACTCTGCTGCGAACCGCTCCAGCGAAAGTTGTAGATCATGACCTGATGAAGCCAATAGGACCACATCATCTGCAAAAAGCAGAGATACGATCCTAAGGCCACCAAAACGGATCCCCTCAACACCTTGGCTGCACCTAGAAATTCTGTTCATAAAAGTTATGAACGGAATCGGTGACAAAGGGCAACCTTGGCCGAGTCCAACTCTCACCGGTAATGAGCCTGACTTACTGCCGGCAATGCGGACCAAGGTCTGACACCGGTCATACAGGGACCTAACAGCTCGTATCAAAGGGCCTGGTACCCTATACTCCTGGAATACCCCTCACAGGGTTCCCCGAGGGACGCGGTCGAACGCCTTCTCCAAGTCCAATGACAAAACAATGAATTTCTAATACTCGAGCCCTGTTTACACTATGCACTGTATGTTTGAGTGAAACCAAAGATTTTCTGCAGTTGTTTGTGAACACAACAGCAGCGCTCGTTCCCTCTGAACTGGAAGGTTTCTGCATCCAGGTCTCAGAGTGGAGGTATTTGGGAAACCCACACAGAGTTGTGAAATTGCTGTGTGCTCTACTCGTGGCTGCAGTCAATCTATTACTTGTTTATTTATTTTTGCACTTGCAGCAGATTGACGGTAAGCAATAGATGAAATCAAAGTTCTGTTTGTGCTGTTCACCCTTTTCAACGTGCAGAAGCAGCCCAACCAAACAAAGGTTCCTGTATTCACCATTTTGGATGTATCAGGCTTGGACTGCATGCATGTCTTGTTGAAGTCTGGCATCACTGTTGCCAGATGTACAATAATAATTACCCTTTTTAACCCCCCCCCCCTCCTTTTCTGTGCTGCATCTTTGTCAGTCATAACACACACCACCTCTTACAACTTTCCTCTTTTGAAAAAGCACGTCTCACTCAGCACATATGATAGTTTGGGTCAGAATACAAGGATTGTAAAGCGGCTGTAGGATTGTTCTTCATTTCCTATCTGGTAACCCTGCCTGGCATGGACTAAAGCCACTACAGTGGATTCATGTAAACATCTTGATTCACCAGTGAGAAACGTTTCCAAAGATCTTTCACGTGTAAATAAGGCCTAACGGTAAATATTTGACATAAAATAAAGAGGAACGAGTGAAAATGCATTTGCATAAAACAAAGGTGGTATCGGTAACTAGACTTTAACCCTTAGCATCGTGTAAAACTGACGGCTCTGGACCTTTTAAGTATAACCAACCGTTTCATGTTTTTAGGATCTCAAAATTCCCAGAATTTTTAAGTGTTAAACTTAATGGTAATTTATGTGAAAGTACATTAATAAAACTAGAAATGAAAATATTGAAGGCTGGTCATTAATAATAATAATAATAATAATAATAATAATAATAATATATTTTATTTTATTTGCATAGTGCTTTTCTAAATACTCAAAGACACTTTACAGGAGTTCAAAAAATATAAAATCAACAATGCAACACAACACATAAAAACACGAACGCATAAAAAGGGCAAATTTAAACATTAAAAGCAATTTTAAACAGGTGGGCTTTGAGTTCTTTCTTAAGTGGATAGATCTGAGCAGGTCTTTGGGGCAGTTAGTTCCAGTGGGTGGGGGCAGCAATGGGGAAGTCTCTGTCTCCCCAGGTTCAAAGCTTGGTCCTGCAGGTTGAACTTTTGTGAGGCCCCTTTTAATTTTCCTCTGGAAACCACCGTCTGCAGAGCTCCTTGATGGTGCTTTCATCAATGATCCTGTAGTGAAGGTGGTACCTGAACTGTACCTCTACCAGAAACCTCTTGTCTGCATGAACAGTTTCCAGCAAGAGGACACTGTCCAGGGTGTGTGTGTTGCCTGATAAAGGATAGAATCAACAGCTTTTCAGTATAGTTTGGGAATATATTTTAGCATAATCTTGACTAAACAAAGATTTTGTTGCTGTACCATGCAATGTGATGTAATGCACCCTAGAAATGATCAACCGTCACCTGAACATGTCGTAGTAGATATAAACGATAACACGTAAAGGGTTTTGTTCCGATTTGTAAAATGTTTTGTTGCGAAATACAATTTACTGTAATGATAAAATACAAATTATCCAGTCAAAATAATGATTCCACATCAGCTCTTAGCATTCTGGGGGAAAAAAGAAACTTTAAGTATACCTTCATTGTGTGTTTCTTCTTGTCCTTCTTGTTAACGTTACTTAAAATGTTGTGTACAGTTGTGTTCCTGTCCTTGTCCTTTACACCTTGTCGGATAAAAACTTTGAAAGGGTCAATGTCTTTTATTCTCCACAATGTGTCTTGGTGTCAGAGCGTATGCTTGGCAGCTTGAGGGAAGTGGTGATAAAACCCTGTTAGTGTGAAGTAACACACAGGCAGCTGGGCTGTTTGTCAGCGCCTTCTTGTCTGCTGAAGATGGCGGGGTCAGATGGCGTTCAGAAGGGGTGTTGATGAGCTCTCAGCATCTTACCTGGCCTTTGACACCTCTTCCACCGACACATTTTTGTCCTTAAAATGCACTTGCATTGACACGCACTCAGATGGTCTTCGTAGGAAAGGCACACATTGCAATTAAGGAGCCATCTTCCAATTAGACCGTGGATGCTGGCAGATTCTGACCCCTCAGTCCCGTTATGCCTGAACTGCTCTCCTACCGCCTGCAGTAATGAGAAACTGTCTGTTTACGGTGGCTATGCCTTAGCCTGTGTCTGCAGCTTTTAGTCTTTATTTTCCTCTCCACGGACGCAGGGCAGGGGAAACAAAGAGAATTTAATGATGCTGCTGAACACGTGTGGGGGAAAGAGGAATGGGAGTTACAAAGATGCAGGGAGTCCTAGAGCTAATGAGTGCTCATTTTAAAGAAAGACGTGTTAATGTTTGTGAAGGCCTGTGTGAAAATGTCTTCTTCCACTTTCCATCTTTAATGTGTGCAGCGGTGATGGCTCTTTCATTCATGTATATGTTTTGTCTGCTATATATATTTAGCTAGAAACCGTGTGAAGCTGCTACAATCCTCAGTCTCACACATACAGAAGAATGGACTGGGCTTTCAATTGATTATTTACTCTATAATTAAGTGTGAAGAAAATTGCCTTAAAGGTGTAAGAAAATAAAGTGCATATCTGGAAAAAAATACACATGCTTGTGTCACATTCAGAACACACGCGTCCACGCAGGCGCCGTCATTAACATTGATTCACTGCCTCCTTTTGTTTTCAGACAAGGTGATCAGGCACAGGGCGTGCAGTTTAAAGGACACAGCCCACGCCATATTTGCTTCTGAGCTCGATCCCGAGTTCGACCGCATGTGTGAAGAGATCAAAGAGGCACGCAAAAAGAGGGGTAAGAACTTTTTTTAATTGAAATACTGTATTTTTCAGACTGTAAGGCGCACCGGATTATAAGGCGGATTAATCAAAACAAAACAGTCAGATAAGTCCAACTTTATTCAACTCATTCACAATAACCATATAAAATTGGTTTCGAGGTCAGTAAGCACAACCAGAGTATAAGGCGCACCGAATTATAAGGCTCACTGTCGATATTTTTTAAATAGAAAATTAGAGGATTTTAAGTGCGCTTTATAGTCCGAAAAATACGGTAAATGAAATGGACTGTTGCAAACGTAAACATTTTGATTTGGTTCTGCTTAAAATAACTCCAATAAAACTGTAGTTTACTGGAATTTAAGAAAGGAGAATAAAATGAGTAGTTCATTTTTATTTCTCCTTTTATTGCTTCTATTCCACAGAGTGGTGGTTTTCATAACACTGTTGGCTCAGCAGGACATTAAGGAATGGACTAGCTGTTTGAAACACTTATTCACTTGCTCACTGCATTTTGACCACTGTAAAGTGAACTCAATAGGAGATAAGGGACAGCCTGGTACTTTTGCTTTTCAAACACGTCTCAAATTCAATACAGTTTATTTATGTAGTGCCGATTTACAGCAAAAGTAATCTATGAGCACTGTACAAAAACTGTCTATATCATAAATTTAGTTTATATCCAACTATTGAATTCATTCTTAATATAATACAGTCCATTCACATACCGTACATTATGAAATGCCTTTTAGTAAAACTTATTCAAGGAGGTAAGATTATGTTAAATTTTCTTTTTGTTGCAATTCCCTGACCTAAGCTGTATACTGGTGACAGGAACTACCTTTTTAACAGAACCAGAGCCACTCAGCCATCTGCTCTGGTCTGTTTGGGTTTGAGAGGACAGGGCCACAGAAAGTTTGGTCCAGGTGTAGTTTCTACAAGGAATAACAACAGAAACACATCAGCAGTAACTGCAGATACAAAGCTCTTTCACCAAACAGTTCCTCAAAGACCACGCTGTTATTACGCTGCCTCTGCTCGTTAATCGATCACAGATCAAGTCGGCCATGTCCCACGGAGGAGAGCCAAAAGAGGCATGAGCAAACTCAGCTGTGTTGATGTGGAGCGTAATGCGACGTCTGTTCGAAACACAACACAACTCAGTTTGGCACTTCTCTTTGTGGTTAACTAACTACATTCGAAGTTGCTGTGCCTCCTCCATCTTTCCTCTGTAATGAGTCTGTTTGTTGTTTAATCCTGCAACCTGCTGGTTGCACCGACCACATGTCATCACTTCATTACAATACTGAGCCGCAGCACTGGCTTACCTTTTCAAATGTTGATCTTTACAAGGAAAATCAGAAGTGGATTGGCTTTGACCCCACCCCCTTACCGCCTCAATCCTTTTAGAAATCATAGAGGCGTCTTAAGTAGGGGTGCACCGATACATCGGCCAGCTGATTTTTCGGCCCCCATTTCCTTAATTTTGTGAAACACACAATTAATTAATTATAATAAATTAATTAATTTATTGATTAATTTATTAATTAATAATTTAATGTATAGATTTAACAACAATTGTCTGAACTTCATTTATATTTCAGAGCACTACCTCATGGCCAGTTAAAGCAAGTTTGTATTGTTTCTAGGATATTGTTCAAGGGTATGTTGTTCAATAAAACAATAGTGGAAGATTGAAGGTGCGTTGTGACCTTATAACACCTGACAGTGTCGCTTATAAAACTAAATCGGCTTTGGCCAAAATCGGAATCAGCAGGTCAGACTTTTAGAAATAGGCGATCGTCCAGAAAACTGCAGTTGGTGCAGCCCTAGTCTCAAGTCCAGGGCTGAGGTGTTTTAAAGACCGTAAAGAGTAAAGACAGCACAGTGACGACATGTGATCAGTTTGTTCTCCAGCAGTCTAAGCCTATAGCTGCATAACTAAAGGATAGAGAGAGAGGCGTCTGATAACTGAATGCTCTGCCTCCCATTTTACTTTTAAAAACTCTAGGAACCACAAGTAAACCTGCAGTCTTTAGTAAAATATGGAACAATAAGATCTTTAGTGTAAGATGGAGCTTGGTTGTTGAGAGCTTTGTGTGTTAGAAGAAGTAACTTATAAATGCAGCAGTACTTCATAAATGTGTGTTGAGTATTCACAGAAAGTTCCAGAAATGTACTGATGCATACTTCATCTACATTTGTGTTCGCTCCTGACACTCTAGACAAAACTCTATGGGGATAACTGCATTTGTGCAGCAATGGATTACATGTCTGGTTCTGTCTGAAGTGGAATTAATAATTCTACTGGTTGTTAGATGAGAAAATATAATGTAAATATTAACATAATCTGTCTTGTTAATATTAACGAAATTTAATTACACATAACCGTTACACTTTTTTTGTTGTTTTGTATTTATTTACACAAGCACCAACTGAAAATTTTACAGCTTCCAATATTCTAAAATTGTGAATTACCTACTGGATTTTTCTGTACAGAAGATTTATTTATTTATAGATTTGTGATGTGTGCAAAAAATATAAGCCAAGTAGCACAGTGTTTAACAAATGAAGTGTGACTCTACAATATAAGTTTAACATGTTTAATGTTTAGATTGAACATTAAACATTGCAAATTTAAAGTCAGTTCACACGTTCTAGTAGTTTTTCAAGCCCTGCAGCTCAGACGGAGAAGACGCACCACTATAATGCAGAGGACTGGATAATTAAAGGCATTTTCAACAAGTCTGAACATCACAATAACAAGCTGCGAACATCAGCGTCGACTTACTTACTGTCTTTTTACACTTACGTAGAGTACAACTTCTACACCACTTTTATTGGGACGTGTGACGAGCTTCTAGTGCATTATATAATAAATGAAAAGTATTTTTTATTTAGAGTCGGAGAGTCAGAGTTTCTTTGTCAAACGCACCACATGTGGTGGAACGAAATTGTGTACACAGGGCCCCAGTTACATCCAACAAAAGAATATAATGTAAAAGAAAAAACATAAAATCTAATTAAGATTGCTTAATCTAATTAATTAATATGGATCTAATTAAGATCTAATAAGATTTAAGCACTTTATAGTGCCCTACATAGTGAACGAGTGGACAATTCGAACACAGCCCTACTCTATTATGCTGATATTTGGAGAATACTTGCCAACTTAAAAAAAAGTTGAACCCAACTTGTTCATGTTCCAGCTTCTCACCTTTACTGTTTCTTTTCTTGATCGTCTTTGATCGATTATTTCAGAGACTACAAACCTGTTTTATCAAAGATAATATCTGTAGGGTAGCTCTGTAGCACTTGATGGAGCCAGTCAGTTTTAGTGCAGAGTATGTGGCAGAGATGGAAGAGACACCTGAGGCTCCAGTCTTTTCAGTCCGCACCGTTTGTTCTGGCTCTTTGTTTGACTCTGTTTTTATATGTGTCACCAAACAGCCCAAAGCACTTCTGCGTGGACAAGAGGGGGCATCTAAATTATTCTGATGGTTATAGCTGCACTCGTACAATTTGTTTACATGATACACTTATACGTAGTATTAACTTTTATGTTACTTGTCAAGTGTTTATATTAAATATGCGTTAGGCACAAAGACACATAATCTCATGCAAATAGTCCCATTACTTTACTTGCCAACATGGTAATAGGTTAACTTGTTCCCATAAATTGAACGTGGTATCTGTGTTACAGTGCTCCCACTTACTCATGTAAGAAAGTTTAAACATTTTCATATACTTTGTCTTCAAATACCCACATTGAAACCATGTAAGTCTTGCTTAAAATGCATCATAATTTGTGCATCGCCTCTCAGTTTGTGATATATATATTTTTAGAAATGCTAATAGGAGTACCAAAATTCAGTTTTAGTAATGCATAGAAGGCTTGTTGACATTTTGCTTGAGCTAAAACGACCATGTCAAGCAGTAAATGTATGAAAAACAAGCACTTTCTTAGAAGTCAGAGAAAAATGTTTGAATTTCTCTTTCGGCAGCTAAAAGTTTGAGATGTTAAATGAATGTTGCAGTACTAGATGTAAGCTGCCCGAGGAAGAATACAGCTGGATGAATATTTCATCTTCCAGTCCAGTTCCTGACATTAAGCTATCAATTAGCTCAGCATTACATGATGCCTTGTTGAAGCAGTGTTCAAAACGTGCAGTGTTTTAGAGCTTTTTCCTTCCTTCAAGGCCTGATTTAAAAAGAGCTGTTATAAATTTTGGGAAAAACCTTAACTCAGAATGTTAAAGCAGAAATCATTCATTTTCTGGGGCTACAGTGTTTCAGTATTTTAACGTTTTCTTTTTTTTTTGTGTGTCGCTTTCAAGCTCCGAGTCAAACATGCTGTTATAACCATTGCCAATTGTATCGATTTACAGTGAGGAAAATAAGTATTTGAACACCCTGCGACTTTGCAAGTTCTCCCACTTAGAAATCATGGAGGGGTCTGAAATTTTCATCTTGGGTGCATGTCCACTGTGAGAGACATAATCTAAAAGAAAAATTCGGAAATCACAATGTATGATTTTTAAATAATTTATTTGTGTGTTACTGCTGCAAATAAGTATTTGAACACCTGCCAATCAGCAACAGTTCTGGTCCTCAAAGACCTGTTAGTCCTCCTCTATAACGTCCACCTCCACTCCACTTATTATTCTAAATTAGAAGCACCTGTTTGAGGTCGGTAGCTGCATAAAGACACCTGTCCACCTCACACAATCAGTAAGACTCTAACTACTAAGGCTAAGACCAAAGAACTGTCCAAAGACACCAGAGACAAAATTGTAGACCTCCACAAGGCTGGAAAGGGCTACGGGGCAATTGCCAAGCAGCTTGGTGAAAAAAGATCAACTGTTGGAGCAATTATTAGAAAATGGAAGAAGCTAAACATGACTGTCAATCTCCCTCGGACTGGGGCTCCATGCAAGATCTCACCTCGTGGCGTATCAGTGATCCTAAGAAAGGTGAGGAATCAGCCCAGAACTACACGAGAGGAGCTGGTCAATGACCTGAAGAGAGCTGGCACCACTGTTTCCATGGTTACTGTGGGTAACACACACGTAGTTTAAAATCATGCATGGCACGGAAGGTTCCCCTGCTTAAATCAGCACACGTCCAGGCCCGTCTTAAGTTTGCCCATGACCATTTGGATGATCCAGAGGAGTCATGGGAGAAAGTTCTGTGGTCACATGAGACCAAAATAGAACTTTTTGGTCTTAATTCCACTCGACGTGTTTGGAGGACGAAGAATGATGAGTACCATCCCAAATACACCATCCCTTACTGTGAAGCATGGGGGTGGATGCATCATGCTTTGGGGGTGTTTTTCTGCACATGGGACAGGACAACTGCACTGTATTAAGGAGAGGATGACGGGGGCAATGTAGTGAGAGATTCTGGGGAACAACCTCCTCCCCTCAGTTAGAGCATTGGAGATGGGTCGAGGCTGGATCTTCCAACAAGACAATGACCCGAAGCACACAGCCAGGAGAACCAAGGAGTGGCTCCGTAAGAAGCACATCAAGGTTCTGGAGTGGCCTAGCCAGTCTCCAGACCTAAACCCTATAGAAAATCTTTGGAGGGAGCTCAAACTCTGTTTCTCAGCGACAGCCCAGAAACCTGGCTGATCTAGAGAAGATCTGTGTGGAGGAATGGAACAAAATCTCTGCTGCAGTGAACCTGGTGAAAAACTACAGGAAACATTTGACCTCTGTAACTGCAAACAAAGATACTGTACCAAATATTAACATTGATTTTCACAGGTGTTCAAATACTTATTTGCAGCAGTAACACACAAATAAATTATTAAAAAAATCATACATTGTGATTTCTGTTTTTTTTTTTTTTTAGATTATGTCTCTCACAGTGGACATGCACCTAAGATGAAAACTTCAGACCCCTCCATGATTTCTAAGTGGGAGAACGTGCAAAGTCGCAGGGTGTTCAAATACTTATTTTCCTCACTGTATTATGTTTGTGTGGAGTGACATGCACTTAAATCTTACTGGGCATTTCAAGCGCCTTTGGTCATCTTTGTCTGATCACATTCTTATCGATACACGCCGAGCACCTACACTATCCAGTCAGCTGTGTTCTTGAAGCATTTCTCACATTTACACATGCAGAGCAGCACATGCAAAGCAACAACAACAAAAAAACCTTGTCCGCTGTCTAACTACTCCTCTGTGGGCTCTGCAGACTTCCAGTCGCCTGCTCAGTTGACAGCAACTCCAGGTGCTGTGCCAACTAGAAAGCAGCAGCAGTGTGCGGGGGAAGAACGGGTCAGGACCACCACTCCAAACGAAGCCAGCTACAAATCACCCACTACAAGTCAGTATTTATGCATTCTTATTATTTTACACCACCTGAATGCTTGATCTTTGGATTGGCCCAGGAGTAGGTCACAGCTATGACCAACATTTGATGGATTTCAGGAGTGTCTTGCACATATAGTTAATTTGTGAACCTGTGTTGTAACAAGCTTCTCAACATGCCAGTGGCCATGATATTATGGGTGATTGTGTTGACCCTTGCTTACAGTTTTATGGTGAACTAACAGGCTTATGTATGATCTGTTATGCCTCAGCAAGCAGCCTGTGTCATAGTACAACAGCAAACTAGACGTATGTAGTTGCACACACCTGCCTGCTCACACACAGTCACTATCTGTGGAGCAGCAACATGGTGAGCGGCCTCATTAGTAAGGCTGCTCTCCCCTAACCACTCGCAACATGACCGTGCCACAGAGCAATTACATGCCCACCTGTGGCAAACGGCAGGTGCCTAAGGGTGAAGGGAGGGCCCACGATGGGCAGGGGGCAGACTAATGAAGCTGGTACCTGAACAAATCAGAGGTAAGCAGGTTTTTGCATGTAAAGCCCTGCAGCTCTCAGACAACGGAGAATAAAATGGGCTTGTGAAGAAAATATAGCCACAAAATACTAGGTGCTCAGGCATAAAGTACTGACTGAAGCAAGTTAAATTGTTTCTGTATTCTGCACAGATCAAAACTAAAGCTTTTACTTTTTAAACTGCTTCATATTATTTAGAGAGCTGATACAAGCACATTTCCTGCTAATCTAGATATTTGTGTGTGCTTGTGTAATGCAACAGTTGAGCACTAGATGGAGCTTTTCTCCCATGAGAGTGCTCCTTAAGGAACCCATATGTGTTGGTGATGGAATACTGTTTCTTTAGGTAGATGTTCTAACTTCAAAGAAACATGTGCTTTTGTTTGCTACTACAATGACAATCTATACAGTTTATATTGTTGTCCTAGGACATGTGAAAATCAGTTATAAATCTTCTTGAGGTTGTTATTATTTAGGGGCCATGACTGCAAATCATCTGTCTCCTGTCCTCTCGTCTTCCTCTGTCACACCAACTTTTTTGCATTTCCTTGTACATGGCATCTTCGACCCTTCTGTGGCTTTCCTCTTTTCCTTCTTTTCCTTCAACATTTGTAACAAAACAGTGAAAAGTTTGTACTAAAATATTTTATGTGAACGTAGTTTCGTTTTCACCAAAATTATTTTAATTTGGTGGCAAATAAATAAATAAATAAAACTTCCTACACTAAAATTGGACTTAAAAAATTGTTCATGTTTTTATAAAACATTTAGGAGCTGTAGATTGTAAAACGTGTTATGTGGTGATGCATTTTTATCAGTAAAGGTGAATATGTAACTAGAGCTCCCAGATGTGAACACACCTCACGTATGGGCTTTTATGTGCAACTTGTCAAGGTTCTTCATTGCCGTTTGCATCACATGTGGTACATGAGGTGGAACGAAATTGTGTACACAGGTTCCCAGTTACATTCAACAATAGCAAAAATATAAAGTGTTTAAAAAAAAACCCAGTAAACAAGGATCCAAGATATACACTAAGATATATGCTAAATAAACGCCAAACGGTACACTAAAAGATCTAAGATATACCGGTATGCTAGTTAGTGATAGTGCAAAACAATGCAGTGAACAACAGCAGCACGAACATGAGTCTTTGTGGATGGGTGAGTACTGAATGAATACAACAGCCTGAACTAATCAGCAGCATGAGATCAGCAGCACGGATAATCAGCAGCACATATCAACAATCAAAGCTGCATCACAGCGATTCTTTATTTTTCTTCGCAGTGATAATTCTGATTAGGGATTCACGAGTCCACCAGCCCCAGGGCAGAAGCTGTTCCTCAGTCTGGTGGTTGCTGCACTCTATCAGGAAAGCCGAATAATGTCACAGATGTGGACCACCAATTTAGAAGCAATTGAGAGTTATCAGACTCTACAAGGGCTGTAATAAATTAGGGCAACTCGGAGGATTTATTTAATTCTCACCTGGAGCACCATAGCAAGGCACCAAGGCATCTTGAGGTATGACTCGGATCACTAAACAAAAGATCTGTTTGAGGATGAGATTTAAGTCTTCGTGACAATATTAAATGAATAAGCTGTAGCATTGCACCCACTACTACATCTGAACCATTATGGGGTGGTAAAGCTGCACTTTACTGAAAGGTCACTTGGAAGTTGCATTTATCCTAGATCACTACGTGCAGGTGGAAGCCTATCTGAAGCTGCTTTGGTGTCTGCAGCTCTGCAGAGCTTTTTATCTGGGCTAGCTTCTCCTTCTTGGCTGCACCTCTTTTTTTTATTTATTTGCCCAACGCTGAGAAATTGCCTGTGACATTCAGTTTTGACCGGGTGGTGGCAAGGATGAGATGCAGTATGTTGAATCATGGAGAAGGTTGCATGGAAGGCTTTTTGAGGGTTTGGGTTATTTCTGAATCAGGTGTTAAAAGCAGTGGAGGCAGAAAAGCCCAGTTGTTTAGAAGTGGCTGCTGCTCCTGCCAGGTCACTGAGGGTTAGGAGAATGCTACTGTTAATGCACAAGAAAACAGGAGGGGGGGTGGGGGGTGTCCATTAGCCTGTGCAGATTGCTCTGTCATGGTTTCTCTGCTCTCTCCTCACCCATCTTTCTTCACCCCCGCCTTGTGCCACTCCCTCCCAGGAGCAGCAGAAAACTCAGAGCCCATTACCGAGGGCCACAGTCGTGGGTTCACTTGAAGTGCACCGCCACAAGAATGTGGTTCATGTGGAGTGCCTTCCTCTCATTCATAATTAAACCCTCTGTTTTCCCAATCACTGATGATGTTTAGCTTGCTCAGTTAGTTTTTATTGTCTGCAACTGTCAGAGGCTTTAGGCTGAGTTTATTATTTTTGATATTTTCCGTGTTTCGTTATGCCACACTTTTCTTTTCAAACAGATAAGTAACATTATTGAAAATTCATCTGAAAATTAATTATCCGTCGATTTATTTTACGTTTCTTAGCATGTCTTGATGCCATTATTATTATTTTTTAATATACTATAGAATTGTAAGTGGGAATCGATGCAGACATCCATTTTATTTTTACATCTTTATGATTATTAAACAGTGCTGTCATCAAATGGGTTTAATTGGACTTGTGTTATGTAGACGTCTGCTGAACACCTCAGAACATTTGTAGGCAAATTGTCTCTTTTTTTTTTTTTGGGTCAGATGCACCACAACTAAACACTAAGTCTTTCTAGGATAATATTTTTAATATTATGTTGCTGAACTTGAATATAGTCATAAAGCAGACTAAAGCAGCTGCCGTTAAAATGCCTTTAATTGGATTTCTCACATTCATCCGGCCTGTATAATACAAGATGACTAGTTGTTGCAGCTTATTATTGATACTAAATCCATAGAAGAGGAATGCTTGGAAAGTGCTGTAATTTATTTAATGATGCAATCTGTTGGATTTTTCTGAACTGCTGAATGGAAGCCAAACCTACCCGCTTCCACTCTGCATGTGCGTTAATGTGACTGAACCACACACACAAAAAGATGCATGTTTATGTATAAATATGCATATGTTACTTGCTCTAATGTGGTCTATTTTTTGTAGTAAAATATTATAAAGGAGCCATCATAAAAGAAACGCACTCGGTAAAGGTCAAATTAAAGAAAAGTTGTGCAGACTTAGTTTTAAGTTGGCCAAAACAGACCCAACTGTTTTAAAGCTTCATTTTTGACACAGTTTGTCGAAGTTCTTCCACTGACACCAGAAAATGTCTGTATTGGACAGTTGAACTGTTTGTAGAAGAAAGGACTAATAGTCCAGTGACTGCATAACGTTTACCATATTACTTGGTAGCATGTCCAAGTCAACAGGCACTGGGCTGCATTCATGTAGTTGCCTTGTTTCTCACATCAGGTAAACATACACCTACTCTCAATGTTTCTGATGTCAGACGATCAGTAAGGCTTGAATCCTGAAGAAATAATACACTTTATAAGGTTCTGTATAAAAGCAAGGGGATGATCTTTACCTTAGAATAAACTAAAATAGGATGCGTTGGTCACAGTGTGCAAGGAAGTAGTAAGACAGCTTAAAACAACTATTAGAATAAAACAAGTCTAGAAATTTGTCTTTCTAATGCATTTGCTTTTTAAATGAGCATATCTGAAGTCAAAAATATGTTTTGAAGCCTTTATGTATTACTTTATAGCAGATGCTGTAATATTTTTTGTTTAGCACGATCAACTTCTTCAAACTAAAAAGGTATCCTACATAGCAAATTTAATGTGGTTGGGCTCTATGCATAAAAGCTGACTCAGCAAAACATAGAACTTTATTCAGATAAAATGTACTATAGTAGTGGTTATCTTCTTTTTTTAAATCTCTTTTAAATGTGTCCTTCAGGGTATGCATGTTGACATAAAAAGGAGCATTTCGTGTGTTATCTTATGATTTCTTTCACACAAATTAAATCAATCTTTCAACTAGAGATCAGATGAAAAATCATTCTAAATAACCCAACTCCTTCTTTTGTTAAGAATAGCAGGCTGCATGAGAGGAGTTAAAAAAATTATATTACAGGAAAAACTCAGCTGGGTACAAAACAGTAAGGCAGGAATGCTGCATAAAAACTGTACATTGTTTGAATAAGAAGGTGTAGCCATTAGCTACATACCTATTCTGTGTTTTAACTTAAAGCTTCTAAACTTTTAACTTAAAACTGGATACGTCTGAGCTTTGACTCAATCTCCTAATATGGCAATCACTTCATTATTTATAAGAAAAATGTGTTTTAAAACATTTTAATGATATAAAGATATGAACTACTAAATTGGATATACTAGGGTGGCTCAGTGGTACTACAACTGACTTGGGATTGGTAAGTCGCAAGTTTGACTCCCTAATATTCAAACTTCACACATTTGTGGTGTCTGAGCAAGACACCTATTGTCTAACTAGGGGGAGGGGGGGTGATGGAGAAGTTTAGGTTCACACGTG